AAACCACATTAGTCTCTGGTGCACACTGCTGGCTGGGCACACCTGGCAGGGTCCACCTAACACTCAGCACCTCAAGGTGCCCACTGTCAGAAGAACGTGGCACCCTAACCTTCAGGCACTATAGGCAGAAACACAAAACCTGAAACGGGCTGTTTCTTTAAGTTAGATATACACCTAGCACTGGGTCCAGCCCAGGGATCTTACCAACCCGGCGGAGGCGGCAGAGCACCTCAGCAGCTTCGCTTCTAACCAGCAGCTTTGCTTCTAACGCCTGACAGACCAAGGAAAACTCTCCAACCCCAGTGACAGGAGGGGCTGGGCAGCCACACACAGGAGCAGGCTCACCCCTAAAGGCACAGTGGCCAGGCACATCCACAAGGAATGGTCTTCAAGCACCTGAGCCTGGTGGAAGAGGTCAGACAGGCACCAGCCTGTGCCAAATAGCTCTGTTCAGAAAAAATGCAGACCATTCCTCAGGTGGAGCCTGGGGACCCCTGGGGATGTGGGCAGGGTGATGTCAGAGCCCAAACAGGCCCTGGGTGGCCATGTCACTTCAGTGACCCACGCCAATGCGCAGTGAACAGCAGAGTCAGGCTTTGAGGAAGCCATGCCCTGAGGATACTTCAGCACCGAAAGGTCCCAGGAAACCCCTGGGGGCATGAGGGGCCACCTCACACACAGATTCGGTCAGGCGGGGCTGTCGCAGGTGCCTTCCACAAGGTCTGATGCCAGGCCTCCCAGAGGACCCTCCCCATGACACCGCAGAGCGCACCCTGCCACCCTCCACACCAAGGTACCAGCCGGCCCGCCTCACCACTTCCCCCACAGCAGGGCCCAGTGGGAGTGAGATTCCTCGGGACCAGGCCCCCTCCCCGCCGTCCAGTAACACAGCTCCAAGGGTCTCTTCATAGCTGTCCCTGCCATGGTCTCTGAAGCCAGGAGCTTGGCGAAGGTGTGATGCCACCGTGGGCCTCTGCGCGCGGGGCAGGGTCTCTGCGGTCAGTGGCTCTGTCCCGGCTGGGACTCACTGGTGGAAATGCTCTGAGCCCAGGGCGCCTGAACTCGGCAGGGTCACAGTCACCTTCCCTGGAGGGACAGGCGAGGTCCCTTGCCCCAGGCCCGGCAGGAGGCAGGAAAATCACAGCCCTGGCACACCTCGCTCCTCCCCTAAATCCCGCATCCTCCTCACGGCTTCCGCCCCTGCTTCCCACAGCCTCTGGGCCTCCCTGCTCACACTTGTGCTTGAGGAGCCGCACGAGGGCCCTGGTGAGATGGGTCGCTTCGCACGCAGGTGGAGCACGAGGCAGAGAGGAGCCGCCACACATGCATGTACACTTGCCCACATGCGCACCTGAGGATGGCCAGCTGCTGTGAGAGCTGCTTCACGAGCGCGGCGCGCTGCAGTCTCTGAGGACCAAGCGTTAAGGCGCGACGCAGGTGGGGCCACGCACAGCGGGCGGCGCTGTCTGCATAACCTTTCAAGCCATTTTGTAAACTGGTTTTTGAAACCCATTTATATTGAAAAGCATCTACTCCCTGATAACGACAGATGCATGCTCACAGAGCCGGTGGCTCTGAGGACACCTTGCCACGTTCCCCCCACTGCCACATGTGGCAGTACGGCCCCCTGTGACGCGAGAGCCCACAGGGAACCTTTTAGCCAAAACCATTACCCAGCAAGTTGCCTTCAATGCCTGGGTTCTCTCCTGCCTGGCCTTCAAGCACTGGGACGCTGCAGACAGGGCCACACGGGGGGTCCCTCAGTGTCATCCGAGCTCAGCGTGGATCCTCCAGGCCACCTGTAGCAGCTCTCTGTCCCTGTTCCTAGGAAGGAGTGCCTTCGTCCCTGAACCCTGTCTCTGCGGTTCACCAAGGCCCTAAAGAGCATGTGGGGGACCCAACTCGGGGTCACAGGAGGGCGGGAACCCAGAGGCCCTGGTCCTCCAGTGGCTCACTGCCTTGCCCTGGGCTTCACCCACTAAAAGCTGCAGCTGGCAGATGAGCTCTTGTCTGGTGCCCCTTCCCACACCACCTGTCACTCTCAGCCAGGGCACAGGAGGCCCCACCCACGGGCAGCTCAGAGTCCTGGGCCGACCTTCGGAGCCCAGGGTTTGGGGCTCCTCCTAGGCTGAGAGGTGAGTTTCCAGCTCTAGCACCTCTCCCTGCATCAGTACTTCTATTGATTCATGTTTAAAATGGTTCTCTTTGGTTTTCTCATTCAAAAAACTGGGGGGAAAAGATTTATATTCCAGTTTTCATACTCTGATACCAACACATTTTTTTCTTTTCCTTTTGTGTTTTGTTTTTGAGACAGGGTCTCACTATGTAGCTAAAGCTGGCCTCGAACTCATGGCAATGCTCCTGCCTCAGCCTCTTGAGTGCTGAGATGGCAGGCATGTGCCACCACACCTGGCCCAACGCAATTTTATTGGGCCAAAGAACAGCCAGCTGGCCCCTGGTGGCAGCTCTGCCACAACTGTGTGAGGAGACGTCCATAGATGCCCTGGCCCTGTGGGCTCTGTCTCCTGACTTCTGTGGCCTTGTGGTCCCCAGTACTGAGTGCTGTGCCCTGCAGGCTGGGGCTCACAGTGGTTCTCATAGCATAGGGAGAGGGCGGCAGGGTCCTCACTGCCCCTCAGCCTCCCCAGGGCCCTTGTGCCGGGGGCGAGGCCCCCTCACCCGCACCGACCTAAATCTGCTCCCCTCTGCTGGAGTTTGTCACTGCCCACAGCACAGACCCCAAACCTGGTGCCACCAGTGCCACCATCACCCCATGGGCACTTGGAGGAGGAGATGCAGGCCCCTCCCAGCTGACCAGCCAAGAATCTGTATGTTTTTCACTCTCTTTCTGGACAGCTCTGCAGTATTTACCTGAGCTCTGCTGTGGTTTCACTTTAAAGGATTTCCGGCCAACTGCAGTGGCTGGGGAAGGGTCCCTGTCATGGGCCCTGAACAGTTAAGGAACATCTGTGTCCCCAGCTGCTTGGGACCCTGAGGTGTGGAGCGTGAGTTCAAAGTCAGCCTGGGTAACACAGCGACCCCTGATCTGAAGAGCACATGCCCATTCGTGAGCCAGTTCCTCTTCTCCTTAGGTGTGGAAAGATGAGGAAGAAGAGACAGTTCTTGCATGTGATAGAGGGGACACCCAAGATGTATCATGGACTCCCATGGGCACCTGGGGCCCACATCCAGGTGCAGTCTGAGACCAGGGAGCCTGCTCATGCAATGCCCAGTAGGCAGGCAGGAGGCAGAAGAGGAAGGGTTTCCTCAGCTGTTGTTCTGCTTGGGCCTTGACTGATGGGGTGTGGCCCCCCAACATCTGAGGTCATCTGCTGCCCTCAGCCTAGTCTAAGGTCTATCTTGGGTAAACGTTGACAGAAAGACACTGCACCACAAGTACTCACAAGTACCCAGTGACCCACAGAGCCAAATGGACTGGGCCCTGATGATCACAGTTATCTGGGCACCCATGGCTCAGCAAGGGATGCCCATCCCTGACCAGCACCCACCCTGCCTCCATCCAAGTCATCTGGCCAGTGAGGACCAGATGGTTGCTGACACCCACCCATGAGAAGATGACCCAAAGCCCAGGGACTGAGAGGGACCAGAAGGTGACGTGGGGCCCATCCACCGAGGCTCTATGGGTTTCCTGAAAGCACTGGCCATTTGGCCTTAGAGGCCCCCAAAGGCATGGCTGTCAGCACCAGGACCCCTTCAGGAGGGGTCCTGACCAGCACTAGAACACACCCCAGTGCCACGGACCAGGTCTATCTGCACAGGCATCCCTGTGGGCACAGGGCTCCAGAGGCCCTTGGGGTGGGCCTAGACCAGATGGACCATCCATCAGCCACCTGGCAGGGCTGGCAGAGGTCCCTCCCCTCTGCCAGCCCTGTTTCCTGTTCTCTGCCAGCCCAGCGAAGGACAGCAAGGTCAGCACTGGCCCCCTCTTCTTGCTTGCTCCTCACCCCTGGAGGCCCCCTGCATCCACAGGGCCTCCCAGGCACCCCAAGGGGCTGACAAGACAGCGTCCCAGGGAACATAGGGAGGGCCAGGCCCACAGGGGTCCCGCCCATCCAGGCTACAGCTGGGGTCCCTCAGAGGCCACTCCTACCACCGCTGCAGGGTTCTTGGTAGGCCTGTCCTTCAGTGTCCCCTCCCTGCCCCGTGGGGAGCCTTGTGGGGATGTCCCCTAGGGTCCCCTTCCCATAGCCTCCTCTCCCCCAGCAGCTTTAGCCCCCAGGATCCTGCAGGACCAAATAGTAGGCTTTCTGGGGCCCTGAGAAGGGAAGCCCTACCCACACTCATGCCCAGTGGAACAGGGGGACTTCACACCTGAGGGTCCCATGTGGCCCCCTTGCCCCAAGAGAGTCCCCTTGGCCAAGTCCAAATTCCTCCTTCCAGCAAGAGAAGTGCACAGTTTGGGTAAAGGCCACACAGGGGGACTGGGACAGAGTCGAGTCTTAGTGAAGGCCTCAGACAGGGATGTCACTACCTTGCCTAGGTGGCCGAGGAGCAGGGCCCAACCTCTCCAGAAGCGGTACCCACAGCCTGTTACATCCCAGGCACCTCACACCAAGCTGTTTCCAGAGTATCTGCCCCCAAACTCCAATCACACCTGCCCAGGAAGAGGGCTCAGGTTTGGGGCTCCCCCTTGCCCAGAGCTCTGGCAGGTGGGCTGCCAGGCCCCGCTGCTCCTCACACGCTCCTCAGAAGCAGGTGAAGGTCAGAGCCATGTGGGGAATGCCATTTCATGGTAAGAACCCGACGGCCAGAGCCAAGAGCCCCCAGTGGCCCAGCTGGGACCGAGCTCTATTGGAGTCAGGAGGTGTTGGCCTGCTCAGAGGGGCGCTGCAGGGCACCTCACCTGTATGGACATTCAGGGGTCTTCAGGGCTGTCCCAGGGCCAGCGAGCAGCAGAACCCGGCTCCTCTCAGTTCTCACCACGGCTTTCCCACTCCTAAGACGACTCAAACCAGCAAATCAGGGAACTGAAGCAGGAAGCAACTTTCAAAATACTTTTATTCGCTTCTCTGGGTGGCCACTCCAGACAGTCCCTGCAGGGGCCACTGCTCTGCATGGCAGGGACATTCCTGTGCTCCACTTCCGCGCCTCACACACGTCAGCCCTCCGCGTCTTCCACCTCTGTGCCAGGTACTTCCTCTACAATCAAAAAAAAATTGCATCTCAGCTGGACCCTGAGCAATCAGGGGCACTAGACACATCTACATGACAGCCAGACGTCCTCACAGGGCTGCTGGGCAATTATTCACTCAAAGCCAGGAGACTGACAGAGGCTCAGTGCTCGTGGCGTGTAGCTGATGGCGTGTAGCTGTCCTAAGGCAGCAGGGTCCATGTGCCTCCTCCCCTTGCTGCACAGGTACTGAGTAAGTGTGCATCCGGGTACCAGGCCATCACTGTGCAGATATGGCACTGGTGGGACAGCAGTACAAACCCCAGGGCCTTGCTACTGTCCAGGCACACACTCCTGATGGCTCCAGTGCAGCTGAGTCCACACGGCTGGTGGTGACATGGGTGCCTGTCACATGCTCATTTAGCAGAAAGCCAGCACCCCAGCAGGGCCTGGAGCCATCATCCCTCATCAGCCACTGCAGCACAGCTGGACAGGTACCAGGGTCACACACACCCACAGCACTGACCCCAGGGGACAAGCAGCCAACAGAAAACCCGCCCCAGGGCAGTTGCCCCGGCAAACCCCCTCGGCAGTCAGCCCAAACCAAAACGCAGCTGGAGTGGGTGACAGGGCCATCCGGCCACCTGGCATCTTCCTGGATGAGCCAGAGGCCTGAACAGGCCACCCAGCCCATGACGGCCCAGGTCCTACCTCCCTCTGCGCTCGCGCCGCTCTTCTTGGAGACAGAGCCACTGGTCGGCTTCAGTGACCCTGCACGAGAGGTTTCTCCCGGCTCCTCGCCGGCCTCAGTGGTCGCAGCCTCTACCTGGACCTCCCTCTGCTTCTTCCTCTCTTGGACTATTCTGGGGGAGAGGGTCTGTGTCAAAACCCCAAGTAGGAGATAGGCCCTGGAGCCAGGTCCTCCCAACTCCCCCTGCCCTAGTTTCGGGTCAGTTAGCTCCATCACACTGGGGGACATCCAGCTACAGGTCACAGCCAGGCCAGGCTCCTAGGGTGCCCGCTGCCACACTAGGCGACCCTCTCAGGAGGGCCCAGTGCAGTGGGTGCTTGGAACAGGTGAGGGTACCATCGCTGCCCAGGCCTGGGGTCAGAGGCCAGGTGCTCAGCCTGAGCCTCAGTCCCGTGGCTCCTCTGTGGGAGCAGGGGAGGAGCTTATCCCAGAGACCGCACCCAGGTTGACAGGACATGGGCCAGGGGCAGGACTCAGCCCGCGTCCACAGTGTGGTCAGCACCCTGGATGCACCAGAGGCCAAGTGCACACAGCCGCCCTTGTGGGTAGCAGAGGACCCTCCATCTCCCCTGTAAGGGATGGTGCCCCCATGCCACCAAGGCCAGTGGGTAATGGAGCAAGGCCAAGTGCCTGGAGCATAGTCACCAAATGCAAGGCTGCAGAGGGAAGGAGCCGGGTGCTGCCCCCTACCCCGCACAGAGACAGACAGACAGACAGACAGGGGAGCAGGATCTACTTGTAAACGATGGTGACGATGAAGGCAGCAGCGATGACCACAAGCAAGATGGAGAACACGTGCACGTAGACTGCAAGGCAAGTGGCGGCCAGCGGTTACCTGGAGCGCCGCAGGAGGGGGCGCAGGGCTGGGTGGGGCTGCTCACTGCTCTCCCCTCCCTTCCCTCCCCTTCCTCACACCCTCAGCTGGGGTTCCTGAGAAGGGCACAGGGAGGGTCTCTGGGCAGACACAGTCAGTGTACAGCCCATTCCTGCCCCAGGTGTGGCCTCAGTACCCTTCTCCTATCCCCAGAGATACAGCCTGGCCTGGTCCAAGGACTAGGGCTCACCCCCCACCCAGTCTCATCCAAGCTCAGTGGGTGTCTCAATGGGGTCCCAAAGCAGTACTTCACTGCCAGGTGGGTCTGGGGGCCTGACGGCTAGGACTGTGGTGCTGGCCCCCCACTGCACCCAGAGACTCTGCTGCTGTAGCCTGAACAGCTTGGGTGCTGAGGGACGGAGGAGGCCCACCAGTCTCAGCTGCTCGGGTGGCCTCCTCCGCTCTGACCCAGCCTCGCACCCCAGAGGAGGTGCTGTAGGTCAGTGCCAGCTTCTGTAGGAGACACTGACCGGCCCCAGGCTCCCAGTGATGCGAGGACACACAGGAGAGGCACTGGACCCTGCCCTCCGCAAAGCCAGTCTCCCCAGGCAGAGCCTCCACCCTGCCTCATGTTTGGGAGCCATGGCCCAGTGACATAGTGCCATCCACATGGCTGAGCACCGGGGAACGGGTGACACAGTCACCGTGAACTGATCCAAGGTGCGGCACAGGCGTGTGCAGAGAAAGGTGCGATAAGTGATGCCAACTGAACAGAACTGGACCACGGGTCATGATGAGCTGGGGGAGGGAGAAATGGGGCTGCAAGAAGGGATCCCCAGACTCTCTGTCCCAGGGGCGCCGCCCCTCACAATGCAGCCACATCTTAGCTCTCAGTGTAGGCTCCGGATCATCTGCACGCAGGACACAGACCCAGCTGGTGCCGTCACAGCCGCCAGTCAGCACTTGCCGGACAGTACACCACACAGCAGCCTGCAGTCTCCTGCCCCGTAGCAGAGGCCAGCAGTGTGCTGGGTCACAAACCATGTGTGTGGCTCTTCTTAGAAACCACACACAATGCCAGGTCTTCCAGAAATGGTAGCAACCAGAGAAAGGAGCATTTTCTTTAAGGAATAGCTTGGTAACTTCTCCCCGCGGGCAGTTAAACGAAGGTTTTGAAAGCGTCTCAGGCAGTCCCGTGAAGAAACTGAAGCCCTTGGGAGAAATGACACGTTACATAAAGTGCCCTGATGTGAGACAAAGCGGAGGCAGACTTTCTCTCTGAATTCCCACTTCTTCTGGAAGATCCAGTGCTAACTCCCGAGTTCGTCCTCTTAATAGTACAGTTTACACCTTCACACAATGTGCACATCAAACCAGCCCATTTAAGAAGTCAGCGAAAGGTTTTCATAGCAGGGAGTTACTCGCACAAAGAACTCATGATGCCCTGTCACTGAACACCGCCCCTTACCCAGCCCAAAGGTTTCTCGCGGTCTCGAATGGAAAAGATGTCAAAGAGATGAAAACCCACTTGCGGGCCTGGTGAGACCAAGGGGCACTGCCACTCTTTCCCTGCAGACGGCCCAGCCTGCTAATTTCAGAGATGTCAGGAGTTAAAAGTGTGGGAGATGGAAGGGGCTTGGGGTCACATCTGTGCAAGAAGGGGGCACGCAGGCAAAGTGTGGGTCTCTCCGGTTCTTGAGGGCCTGTGGCTCTTCTGGATTCCCAGGGGACACCAGGGATACACAGGCAAGGTTCCCAGGACACCAGGGCCTGCCCACTACTCCAGTGTAAGTGCAGCAGACACAGGGCAGATCAAGAACAGCCAAGGTATAGACAGGGGCTGCCCCCTAGCCAGGCCCTGCTCCAGGCGTCTCACCGCTGCCTCACTCTGCAGCGTCTCTGCTGTGCTGGGATGCAAGGAAGCTCGGGCAATCGGGGAGCCAAAGACAACAACCAGCGCACTCAGTGACACCACACCTCTGCTCACACACTGTTCCAGTGCTCATGTTTCTGCCAGGGGAGCCCCGAACAGTGACTCTCCGAGGACATATAAATTGCATAAGTGCCCAGAAACGGGGGCTTCCAAGAAACAGGACCCATGTAGACATGAAGGGCACTGAACTCCCCATGTCCTAGCAGTAGGACATGCTCTCTAGCAGTAGAGATGTGACTGCCAAGCCACCAATGCCACAGACCACAGAAGACAGTAAGTGTGAGGGAGAGCAGATGACAGCCAAGCCACCCCCAGGACAGGCTCGACCTCAGCAGAGCCTGTTACCATGCTAGAATGCAGTTCATGACTGCCAGTGGCACTGCCAGACAGGGGACCCCGGCAGGGTCTCAGGGAAGATGCTGGCAATGGAGCAGCCACAGGCTGGTACCACAGAGGCGCATGACCTCCCCAAGGAATCATCATGCTCTCACCCATCATGCCTCCTGGACTGGGGGCTTAGGAAAGCCCAGGGCCACTTTCAGGATGGTGCTGGCCACAGTCGTAGAGAGAACACTCGCCCTACTCTCTCGGGCCAAAACAGGCAACCCTGTTAAAAAAAATCTTCAGCAGTCTGAGAATTAACCAAAAGCCGCCAGGAAATGACTCTATATGGGCCACTGGATCTTACAGGCCCAGGAACCTCCTTATCCTGGGCCCTCTCCTGCTGCCATCCTGCTGCAGTCTGTGGTCAGGCCAGCACCAGCGCCTGGCTGCCAGGAGTCCTGCAGAGCCCCGCTGGAGCTGGTGCCTTGAGGCACCCTGCAAGCAGGAAGTAGAGACCAGACAGAGCTGGCAGAGACAGGCATGGTACCCCGGCCTGGCAGGTACGTCCTGCCCAGCCACCGGCTGACCACAAGGCTAAGTAAGCAGAGTCTTCGGTGTAAACACCACCACAGACAGACTTGACAGATTCCACACAGAAAAAAAGCCATCAAAAAGTAACTGCAAGGGGCTAGCGATTTAGCTCAGCGGCATAAGCACCTGCCTTGCAAGCAGGTGGTCGTGAGTTCGATCCCCAGTACTGATAAAAAGAAAAAAGAAAAAAAAAAAGTAACTGCAACAGAAATCGGCAGCACAGGAAGCCCTGCATGGTGGGGAGGGGGGGCTTCAGAGCTGCTGCAAATAATGCCCAGTTCTCAGCCACCAACTCGGGGGGGCCTGCACAGAAAGCAAATATGGCTACATGATGAAAAATGTCACCAACTGACCAGAGGACACCAGGACCCGGTCCTGACGAGGGGAGGACTTGAGTGCAGCCACTTTAACTACGTCCAAGGATGGAGCAAATAGCACCTGAAGGGCTGGCATGGGAGACCAGGACTTATGTTCCTGCCTTGATGTTCACCATTGTACAGGACACGCCAGTCACAAAACAAGACAAGAAAATGAAGCCATCCAGAGCAGAAAGGAAAAGTAAAACATCTGTATTTGTGCTGATTTTGTAGAGAAAATCCCAAGGAATCACCCAGAGAAACCAACGTTCAAATTCAATAAGGCTGTCAGAAACAAAATCAATACATAGCGGTCCGCTGTATTTCTGTATGTGACCAGCCCGAAAATGAATGAGAACTCTTGACACTTGTAACAATGTCAAAACTGATAAAATACATAGCAGTAAACTTTTAAAAAGAAACTCCAGGTAGGTACAATGAAAACTACAAAATATTAAAGAAATTAAAGACCTAGCCGGGCGTGGTGGCACACTCCTGTAACCTCTGCACTCAGGAGGATCATTGCAAGTTCCAGTCCAACACCGGGGCTGCAAAGTGAGCCAAGGCAGGCTTGAACCACATAGCGAGACCTCATCTCCAAAAGATAAATAAAGAAGAAATGAGAGACCTAAATAAATAGGAGAGACACGCCTTGTGTCCATGGATCAGAAAAATTAATATTGGATTAGTGGCAAACTCTCCAAATTACCTCCAGATTCAATAACAGCCCTGTCAAAATAGCCAATGTCTTTTTTGGCAGAAATTAATAAGCTGATTCCAAAATTGATATGGATATGCAAGGAACTCATAACAGGCAAAATAATACCAAAAAAAAAAAATGAAGTTGAAAGCCTCACACTTCCAATTTCAAACTGTACTACAAAGAGGCAATAATCAAAACTGTCAAGATGGACATGGAGGTCCATGCGAGCAATTCCAGCACTCCTGGGGGCTGAGGTAGGAGGATCACAAGTTCAAGTCTAGCATGGGCAATTTAGTGACTCAGCAAGAGCCTGGGTCAAAAATTAAAAATAAAAACAGGAGGACTGAGGACATGGTTCAGGGAGTTCCTAGTGCCACAAAATAACACCTAAAGCTGCACAGTGCTGGCAGTGACACAGAACCCAGAGTCCGTAACTACACTCACTTTCAAGTCAGCTGATTTTCAGCGAAGGCACCAACTCAGTGGAGAAAGAGCAGCATCTCCAACTACAGCGCTGAGAACTCCACTTGAGGCCCTACCTCACGTCACATAAAAATAAACTCAAAGTGAATGAAGACTTAGATGTTCAAGCCATAACAAGAGCTCTTGGAAGACGTTATAAACAAATCCTCGTGACCTTGGACTAGGCAATGGTTCCTGGAGGTCTCTGAGCTGGGCACTATGGCTACCTGTAAGGACTGTGCCTCTCTTCTGGTCCTTGTCCTCACTCCGAGGAAGAATGAAAGAAGTGGGGCTGTTAGTGGTGAGTCCAGATGGATACAGGGCCAAACTGAGGCTTATTTAAAGCCAGGCAAACGCAGAGGAAGCAGAGTGGCTGTGGCAGCAGCAGAGCGGTGCCCAGGTGGAGGCCTCCCGCCACGCTGCCCACTGAGCAGAGGCCTCCTCACACTGACCATGAGCACACACTGAGCACATGGGCCAGGCCAGCCAGGGCCTCGGTCGATGTTTCTCAGAAGGGACAAGGTCAGCATACATGAATGGGTTGCCTCACCAGGACATGGCGGGGCACACTTCCTCAGCACACAGTACGTGCAAGCCTGTGACGACTGGCAGCATTAGTCAGGAGCTTTTCTCCCTGCTTTGTTTTTCTCTGCGTCCCTCGAATCTACCCCTACAGTTTCCCAGCTATGAGAAAGCAACCAAAAGAAAAATAGGTAAAATATTCATTATCAAAGGATAAGATAGCGGTGTTTTCAGGAACACCATGGAAAAAGAGAAAAGGCAACCAAGAAAACAGAAGGAAGTGTTTCATCTCACGGATCTGAAGAGACTCTCGGGTCTAGCAGGTGGAACCCCATCCATGAGGACAGTGAACTCAGTGAGCGAAGGCTTTAATGGGACCCTGTTTCAGGAAGCTTCACAGACAACAAGCTCGTCCACACGTGCCCAATACCAAGATTCACTAGGGAAACAAAGTCACAGCCATTAGGGTTTGGCCAGGAGAACGTGGAGAATCTGGAGACTGCATGGTAATGTGGGCACCCCAGAAAACAGTTCGCAAGTTCCTTAGAAACCACACCACAGGTGGAGACTTGAGAAAATTGAAAACAGACGTTTGCACAGAAACTTACAGAATGATAGCCAGGGAGTCACCAAGTGATAAATGAGCGGTGGGGAGTTTGGGCAGCAGAAGGCTATTGAGCATACAAGGACCAGTACCGACAGGCTGCAAGGTGCTGAACCCCAGAGCCACACCTCGGGTGATGCTTTCATGCAGCTCACTGAGGACAGAGGCGACTGGGCTGTGAGGCTAAAAAGGGAGAGATGCAGGGGTCTCTTCTCGGGATGATGACAGTGTTCTCACATCATGTCCACGATGGTTGCATAACTTTGTGAATCTGCTGAAGGCCACGGAATTGTCTGCTTTTGAAGAAAAAATTTTGCGGTGACAGTTTTGTGTCCATAAAGTAAGAAGCACGTGGGTTGCTCCTGTACGCAGGAGGGGCTCCTAGGAGCACTGGCATCTCCTGAAGGGTTCCCAGACCTCCTACAGCCAAGGCCCAAAGGAGACATGGGCAGCAGAGTCCACTGTGGCCTCTTGTTTCTCCTCTAGAGAAGCCAAATTGCATCTCTCTCCCAAGAGCCAGCCTAAACTGGGAAGCCGGCAGAGCCCCGCCATGCTCCAGAGCAAGTCACCAGCGCAGGATAGGGGACAGGCCATGCCTGGCTGGTGATGCAGGAAACAGACACCACAGGAAGAAGGTGTCTGTCCAAAACAGGCAGGGTGGGGCCAGACAGCAAGGCAGGAACAGCAGAGGACCCAGGTAACTTCCTGTCTGTGGGAGCTGCTCCTTCTCTCTGCGGGAAGGGAGGTGAAGGCCGCAGCCCAGGCTAACCCTGCTCCAGCGAGACACAGGCCTGTGTGTGCAGCCAGGAGAGCCAAGAGGAATGGACAGGGGCAGGAGTGACAAGGACCAGCAGCAGCTCTCTGGGGACGCACACCCTTGGTGCAAGCCCAGCAGGTGGGGAGCCATTCCTTATCAGCCCAGCCTGGCCTCCCTGCCACTCACACAGCCCCAGAGACTCGAAAGCCGGACCCCAGCACCAGGGGACCCTGGCCAGAGCCCTCAGCTAGCCTTTCGATCCTTGGTGGATGCTCCCCAGCCACCGGCCTCTAGGTCCAGCTCTCTGCATCCCCAGGGGACCAGATGTGGAGCAACAGTCCTGCCTGCCTACAGCAACCCGGCAGCAAGGGCATGAGACCCACAGCACCTCCCCGTCACGGCCCACGGGAGCCAGGCAGCAGGGACCAGGGCAGTGGAGGGGAAGCCTGTAGCACTTACCCGGCACCGCCTTCTCGTAGCAGACGCTCTTGTAGAAGCAGCACCCCAGCTCCTTGCAGCGGTCTCGGGAAACGTTGTAGTCACAGATGGCATACAGGGGGATGTCACACACTGCAAGGCACAGACACGGCGCTGACGTGGCCGAGGGCAGAGCCACGCTGCCCGCTGGAGGGCATGACGATGGCTCTGGGCTGGGGCTCGATTCCTCTAGAGCTCTGCATCACGCACGCCTTGGTTTGAAATGAAGATCGGGAATGAATTAAATTTCTGAGCAGAACAAGGCTCTAATTTGGTGCAGGTCCCAGGAGGTCAGGAAGAGGAAGAATCCCACAGAGTGGTGCCGGGTGCAACAAGGGCCTCAGCACAAGGCTCTGGCCGGCCAGGCAGGTGGGGCTGCAGTGCAGGGAGCTCAGATGCCACACAGTGGCTAAATCACCAGGATTACCGCAGAATTCAAAGGTGAATCCACAGGACAGAGAGCTTGTTTATTGTGGTGCTGGTGATGGAATACAGGATTGTCACATAGAGCTGCATCCCCCGCCCTCTATTTTTTTAAATTTATTTTATCTATTTCTTGTCTTTTTGAGACAGGGTCTTGCTATGCAATTCAGACTGGCCTTGGGCTCACTTTGTAGCCCAGGCTGGTCTCGAACTCACAATGACCCTCCTGCCTCAGCCTCCTGATGCAGGGATTAGAGGAGTGCACCACCCACCATGCCTGGCTTCTCACACTTTTTAAAGTCTTTTTTATTTTGAGACAGTCTTACTACATTGCTCCGGCTGGGCTTGAACTTGGGATCCTTCTGTCTCAACCCCCCAGAATGCTTGGATTACAGACCCAACTATAAAGTTTAATTTTTTAAACTTTTATTTATTTTGAAGAGAATAAAACCAAATGAGAGAAAACTAAAAGAGGTCAGTCAAAACAAAAGGATGGACATAGTACATGACTTAAAACCAAAATACAAGGTAATCAACAGTGGTTACTATAATGTCTCTTGTTATCTTCAATAGAATTGCCCATATCATCAGGCATAATAAAATTGAACATAGCGGTACAGAACAAAATCAGTAAAAACAAAACATTGGAGACATTAGAGGACTTCAAAAGAGGAAAATAGTCAAACCAGAATGGGTATCATAGTGACTCTTATTGTCTTCAGAGTAGTTGCCTATATTCTCAGATTTGATATTATCAAAAATAACAGATTAGAATAAAATCAGTCAAGACAAGACAGCAATCTAACAAAACAGATTCAAATAAAAGCAATCAAAACAAGGCAGTGAAAGCAATACAGGGATTCAGATTAAGTTAATAAGAAATTAAAATGGTCATCATAGTATATCCTGCTGTTTTTGGAATAGCTGTCTATGCCCTCAAATCCAGTACAAGTAGACAAACTGGAGCAGAATATAACCAAACTAAACAGAGCAATGGAAACAATATGGGTTTCAAATCAAGATATAAGATTAACAATGTCCTCTTCGTTCCCTTTTTAGACAATTCCTCCCCTTTCACTTTCCCAGGGTGCATTGTACATTTTGTATCCCACTAACTCCTGTAGTTTTTACATTAGGAAGGCAACCGGCTATTTACCTAAGCAGTTCTGAACCTTTTTACCCCTGAGCTTGATCTCAAGTTGTATACATTTACCTACAAGAGCCTCAGGGTTTTCTTTCCTTATAGCTGAGTAGTTCTCCATTATATAAAAGTGTTATGTCTTTCCAACCAATCTGCAGCTGATGGGTGAGCTACCTCCACTTTTTTCTGGCTCCCTGTCACATACAGCATTGTTTTCTCATCTTTGACTTTCAGTCCATAAATCCTCTTTCAGGTTAAATACATTTCTTATATAGAGCATCTTGATGGACACTATCTCCTGATCCACTCTGTGTTTCTTTTTATTAGTGTATGAAGGCCATCCATGTTAGCAATTATGACCAGCCTTCTCTGCCTCATCTCTGCCATGCTATTTTTTCTGCTGTTGGTTGTCTACTTTTCCCCTTTATTCCACTGTGTGCCCCATTGAGTGAGCACCCTCTGCTGCTGTTCCTGAAACCATGGTTTCTCTGTCTCTAGAATGCCCTTCAGTATTTTTTGTAGAGTTGGATTGGTGGTCACGAACTCCCCTCGTTCTGCTTTTTCATGGAAGCATCTTGTTTCTCCATTAATTTTGAGAGACAGTTTTTCAGGGTACATCAATCTGGGTTGAAGGTTATTTTTTCAGGATTTGGAATACTTCACTCCAAGTTCTTCTTGATTTGATGGTTTGTGTCGAGAAGTCTGTCATGATTCTGATGGGTTTTCATTTATATGCGATCTGTTTCTTTTCTCTGACTGCTTTTAATATTCTGTTCTTGTATTGAATTTCTGGGATCTTGATTATTATATATCTGGGTGTAGATCTATTTTGGTTATAGCTGGGCTGGAGATTTAGCTCAGTGGCTTAAGTGTCTGCCTGGCAAGCACGAAGTCATGAGTTTGATTCCTGGTACCAAAAAAGAAAAAAAAAAAAAAAAAAGAGGTACATTTCTATTTTGGTTGTAGCTGGCTGGAGTTCTGGGTGCCTCATATATCCAAATATCATTTCCTTTTCCTATGCTTGGGAAGTTTTCTTTAATTATTTTTGCTTATAGCCTTTGTATTTCATCTGTGTTTACCCCTGCTTCTTCACTCACATTTTTTATTCTTAAGTTATAGATCCTCTTGTTATCTTCTAGCCTTTGTATTGTTACTTCCTGGTTCCTTGTTATTTTTAAAACATCTTTCCTTCGTGATCACAGGTTGCAAACCTGTTTTCAATCTATCTTTAGTTTCTTTCAAGCAGTTTTGCCAGCTTTAAATGGAGTTTTTAATTTCCTGTTACTTTCTTTGAATGTTTCATGTATTCTAAATTTTTTATATTCTTCATTAAAGATTTCCCTCCTTTTTCTATGCTCCTCTCTTCTTCTGTGTCTTCTTTAGAAGTGCTTAGTATTTCTTTTATTATGTTTCTTATATCTTCCTTTACTTATAATATTTTTCATTCTTTTATAGTTTCACAGATACATCTTTATGTCAGTTGCTGTTACTTCAGAAACTGCAGGTGCATGACTCCCAATCCCTTCTGTGTTTACCTTTCCTGGACCAGTACTGCTCGGGTTGGAGGCCAGAGACTGCCTTTTGTTTCTTCCTCTTGTCATGTTCCGGTTTCTTCCAGACAAGTGGGCAGCGGGGCCCCCAGCACTTCCTGTATTGGTTATAATTACTCTGAAGCATGCTGGCTAGGGATTTCTGCTGCTTGCTGCTTTCCCCAATCTGCTGGTGACCACTGGAGTATAAGCAGGGATGGGCAGGCTTGTCCCTCCCTTCTGAGCTGCTCAAGCTCTGGGAGTCTTCTCCACATTAGTGTGTGCTGCAGGGTCAGGGCTGGTTGGGATAGCTTTAGGGAAACCTCAGCCTTGGCTATTGGATTGCACACAGGGGTGGGACTTAGTCCAAGCAATTTTCATCAATCTGCTCTGTGCTAGGAGTGGCTGAATGAGGCCAACTGCACATTCTGGGCTTATCCTGCCTGACTCCAAAATAGTACCCAGCCAATCGCACACAGTGGAACCAGCTCTCGTGAGAGTGCATCTGACTACAGCCTTCTGTCCATGTTTTTCTTTTCTTTTTCTTTTTTTTTTTTTCTTCACTTTAGTTTCTCTCTGGGTCTCGAGGACCCACTTCATTCCTTCTGGTCTTCTCCAGAATGCTATCTTCTAGCAACTGGGCTGTTTCTCTCAAAGAGGCTCTTTACTCTGCTGCTTATTGTTCCACCATCTTCCCAGAAAAGAAAGTTTAGTTTTTAAATGCCAGTCTGTCCCCAAAAGGAAGGACAATGAGTGGGCCACAGAGGGCAGGAAAAGACAGCAGAGTGTCCCTGGGGAATGACCGTTTGCAGCCGCTCCGGTGCCATTCCCTTCCATGGAGAGGCAGCGTTGTGAGTGGACTTGGGAATCAAGCCACACTTCATCACTCACCAACCCAAGGCCAACAAGGTCCAAGGGACACAGAGGCCCCTCCAGGACAGCAGCATCTCCAGTCCGGGCTCAGTGTCCCCAGTCAAGTCCACAGTCAGCTGATGCCCTGAGTGCTCCTGAGGGCCAGAGACACCCACTTCCCGCCTCATACAATAGAAAGGTGAGTTAGGTGAGGATAGTGGGCAGCTAGAAAGGCCCTGGGCCCACAGGAGAATCGGGGTGACCAGCACTCAGCTGGGTGAGCAGGAGCCTAGGGTCGGGGTTAACAAGAACCAGGTGGACAGTTAGGTCCAGGATGTGATAGCAAAGTGACAGCAAAGTGAGGTGCTGTGATGGCTACTGTGCACCTGCCAGTCTGGAAAACACCATCCTCACACTCCGTGCTGCAGACCAGCAGGCCCACCCCGCACTGGACCTTTTTGGTTTGGGCCATCGTGCATCAGCTTGTCTGGTCCACAGCATGACCTGAGCCTGACTCAGGGTAGTATGAGCCCTGCTCATTTCTGGCATAAAAACTCCTGGTCCCACATTCAGATTCCTTTCTGGCTGTCTGGGCTTCATCTCTCTTCTTAATAAACAAACACACCTCCCATCCATCTCTGTCCCCGACCTGGCTCTTCACCTTGTGAGAATCCAGCCTGGACGAGGTGGTTTTGCCCGGACAGAGCCTTCCTTCCCCGGTGTCCAGCTGCAGATGAGATCTCCCGTGGGGCCATGGTCCTCACCCCCACACTGCCCCCTCTGGGCTGCATGTGGCAATGCTGTGGCCATCGGCCTAAGTCACCCCAGAGTGACCTGGGGACAGAGGCCCAGACCCCTGCAGCAGCAGCTCGGCCCCAGAGGGTGCCCTATCCCCAGCCAAACCTTCCCACACGGGGACCACCACAGCACCCCCTGCAGCTTCCCCACCGCTCTCAGTGGCCCCAGGGCTCATGCCTCCACCTCACCCCACCTGTGTGCTCTGCATTCACCCGTTGTGATGTCTGGGAAACAGGCCAGCCTGGACCGGCATCCTCAGCCACCTCCCAAGCGGGCAGCGTGCACGCCAGGCACCTGCTCTCCTGTGCCTGTGTCCCACTGACTGTCACAGAGGAGTGGAACCACAGCAAACCACAGGGGGCAAAGGCAGATCAGTGGCACTCGAGCTACAGCAGTGCCCCTGAAGGTGCCCCTGTCTGAACCTGAGGGATATTGTCATGCTGGGCACACTCGGACTGCTCTGAGTGGAGGTCCTAGGCAAGGGCTGGGGCCAGCGTATATTCCCCAGGACTTTGTTGTTCCTGCTTTGTTTTCCCTTAACTGTGGCTCCTGAAGTAAGAGCGTCCAAGTGGGTGAAGAGTAAAAGTCACAGGCAAACCATACAGTGAATATTTAAAGACATTTGTTACAGTAAAAGGCACACTGCCACTGAGTTCCTCAAAACCCTCCCCCTCACTCTGACCACACCCATCCCTGCCCCCGCCACTTCCTGCAGCAGCTCAGAGGTCCTCAGTCCTGCGTGTCTTCAGGTGAACTGGCCTTGCTTCCTTAGTGCCCTGAATCAAGCCAACACACTTCCTTTGCATGGTGGTTTTGACTTTGTGGTAGAAAGAGCCAGAAGTTGCACTGGCAAGTGAGGTGGACAAGGACCCAGCATCCTGTTTTTATGAGCTGCCTCTCCACTGGATGGTGCTCCGTGGCAGCATTCACTGTATTTTTCATCAGACCTTGGAAAAACCCTCGGGAAATAGGACTCTAGAGCTGCTGCAGGAAGTGGCCAGAATCGTGGGATAAGTGTGCTGGAAGTGGTGGCAGGTTGAGGGGACTCATGGCAACGTGTATGTTATTGTAATCAAGTTTATAATGTCAACATTCACTATATATTTTGACCACAACTCATCTATTGGCCAGCGGACACAGAAATGCTTCTGCCCTTTTCACTTCTTGGGACACAGCTGAGGGTCACTGTTTCCCACACTGTTTGTGAAGCCTTTGGTGTGGCTGTTTTCATAGTGACAGGCAGTAGAGACTCCGCTGACTTCCCTATGAAGACCCCTACATCCCTGCCTGCCCCACCCCACTCTGCCAGGTGACACGGTGGATGCAGCTCTGAGGGCTCTTGTTACCTGCAAACATCTGCAGTAGGTGGGGCGGGGACTTCTTGATTTCTGGCGCATATCTCATTGTCACAGCCGGCGGGGGCCACGGCGATCAGAGGCCGGACACCCAGCCGGATGCTCCCGAGAGGCGAGATGGTACACGCCCCACCTGTGCCCTCGGCCACCCCGTCCCTCTCAGTGTCCTCCAAGCGAGAACGACTTCTTTGTCCTGGGAACTGGCCACCTGCTCCTGTCGCTGCTCCGTGGAGCCTGAGCCGGGGAGGCCCATCAGCTGTGACATCACAGGGCCCTGTGAGGTCACACAGCTTCACATGGGATGGCATTCAGAGTGAGGGACTGTCCCTGCCAACTCTGCCTGTGTCCAGGGCTACATGGCCAGGCAGCAAGGCACAAGGTCTTGCTGCAGGGCACCCAGCCTGGCTTAGGGCAGACGTTGTCGGACTCCAGCCTGGCCTCCTCTGCGCCTGGGTTCTGCCCTCCCTCGAAAGGGAGAAGGAGGGCCAGACTTCTGGGACTTGACAGCCACGGGTATGCAGAGATGGGATGCGGGGGTAGGAAAGGGTCACCACCATCACAGGGCCAGCAGTGATGCTGACCGTGAGGCCAGGGCTGGTCGGGCAGCAGGAGTCAAGCCTGGGTGAGAAACCACAAAGCGGGAGGCACAACAGCAGGTGCTCCAGGTCCCCACCGCTGCCACCCCCACCCCGGGTGGGCCCATGGGCCACATCTGCAACCCACGCCAGCGTCACGTGGCTGTTGCCATGGAGGTGGCATCCCTGGGTAACAGCTCTCCCCACACTGCGGGCACCAGTTCTTCACTGTACAAGGCTGCAGTGTTCGGAAGAGTCGCCACAACTCCACTTCTCTGTTATTAAATGTCAGCCGCTTTTGTTCACAAATAAAACCAAGTTAATTAAACATCTAGGGAAACGAGCGGCCATGGGGCCAGGCCCGGAGTGGCTCCCAGAGAGTCCCCCTGCCCTCCAGTCTCCAAGGCCAGGAAGCCCAGTGTCACTGGAAGCGCAGGGCAGCTCCTCTGGGCCTGTGTCCAGGCAGGCGATAACCTCAGCCACCGGAGTGGCTTAGTTCCTTCCTTCCCTCCTTGCACATTTAGTGGGGCAGGCCTCTACTGCCTACAGTGGTGGGAGTGGCCTTGTCGCGCTCCTCCTCCTCCTCCTCCAACCACAGGATGTAGCTACAGCTCAAGCTGTGCCTCTAAGACATGTTCCAGCCCTGACTCAGTTCCCCAGAACGCACTGCCCTGGAAAAGTGGGTGCGTAGACATGAGTCGGGGCCCGCTGGGGCGTGGCCGCCCCAATTCAGGGTCTTTAAAGAGGGAAGAGTTTGGACAGACACTAGTGGGGACAGTGAAGATGGAGGAAGAGGCAGGCAAATGCTGCTTTTGCCTAGCCGAGGAGAGCTAGGTCAGTGCTGGGGCAGGGCAGCCGTGTACCTTCCAAGCCTTGGGGAGCGGGCCTGACCACCCCAACCAGGGATTTATGGCCTAGGACTGGGAGACACTCCTGGGATAGGGCAGCCCTGTTTTAGGGCTTTCTGAGCTTGGGGTGGGGCTAGGGACGGCCCCAAAGGTAGGTGATGGCACCACCCTGCCCATACTGGGCTGAGGACCTCAGTACAGCCCTGCAGCTCCAGACCAGCATGGGGGCCTGGAGTCCCCACCTTGCTCTTCCCAAGGCACATGCCAGTCGTGGAGTTGTTTCTGTGTGAGACGCAGACCTCAGGCCAGGTCCATAAGCCCAGCGTTCATAAGGCTGAGGCAGGAGGATCACAAGTTCAAGAACAGCATGGGCAACTTCATGACTTAGCGAGACCTTGTCTCAAAAACGGAAAAAAAAAAAAATAATAATAAGGCTGGGGATGTAGCTCATACAAGGCCCAACTCAACCCTCAGGACTACAGAGGGAGGGGGGAGAGGACGGGAAGGAAGGAGGAAAGGAATAAGGAAGGGAGGGGGAAGGCAGGCACCAGGCTGAAGATGCAGCCCACACAAGGCCCTGGGCTCTACTCCCCAGGACCGCAGAGATTAAAACACCAAACCGCAGGAATTTTCAAAGATGCAGAGAAGGGACAGAACAATGGCTTGGTCCACTGTCCACATGGTATTGCTCTACATAGAACCAGAGGAAAACCCACCTCCTTACAGGGCAGGCACCGGATCCACCAGAGGTCCTTTGACAGGTTTTCTACACCAAGACCTCGTCTACTTTAGCAGGTGTACGCGGCCCACACCTGGTATCCCAGGTGTCCCTGGTATCCCAGCAGTCTGGGAGGCTGAGGCAGGAGGATCACAGTTCCAGCGAAGTTGAGGCAATCTCACAGTTTAATCTCATGGTTTAATGAGACTCTCAAAACAATCATGAAATAAAAAATGAAGATGATTTAAAATGAAAGAGCTGCCCTGCGGCCTGTGGTAAGTGCCCAGTGCACTCTGCCCCAAGCCCAGACTGTTCAGGAACCCTCCAGGCTTCCAGGTGCAGTGAAATGGCTAAGTGGGTCTGAGGCGCCTACATCCGCCTCCCCATTCTGGCTGTGCTCGGAGAACTGTGGAGTTTCCAGTAAGCAGGTAGGCGCACACTATCTCTGGAGTCCAGCCTATTTGGGACTCTTGCACCGTCTGGGTGCAGAATAAGGGCTGGGTGGATCTGGGGTGCCTGTATCCGCCTCCCCATGTGCCTAGAGGACTGTGGATTTCTCAGCAAGCAGGCAAGCATCACCAGTTCCAGAGGCCCCACGGCCTGTGGTAAGTGCCTAGTGCACTTTGCCCCAAGCCCAGACTGTTCAGGACCCTCCAGACTTCCGGGTGCAGTGAAGTGGCTAAGTGGGTCTGAGACGCATACATCCGCCTCCCCATTCTGACTGTGCTTGGAGAACTGTGGAGTTTTGAGCAAGCAGGCGGGCACACAGTGTCCCTGAAGATCAGCTCATCTGGAACTACAGAGTTTTGAACAGGTTCCAGAGGCCCAGCGGCCCCTGGGGGAACTGGGTGCCAGAGTCCCAGGAACTGTGAACATAGAAGTGGATTTCCAACAGACCCTGAGGAAGCTTTCAAATAACACTTGAAACACCGAAATATAGGAACGAAAGACCAAATTACAACCTCAAACCTCCAGCCCATCTCAAGAAACCCTAGGAGTGATGTATATAGAAGAAAATACATGCCATACATCTCAAATATTGGACATAATAGTTACTGAAATAAACAAGCAACTCCAAGAAGCTTTAAAGGAATTTAAACTTGAAATAATCTCCCAGGTAAAAGAAGAAATGATAAAAGAAATGAAAGAGATTCTGAATATATCTAAAGAAAACGCAGTTAAAAAATTGGAGGAACTAAACAAAAAGATAGAATCCCTAGATGAGCAATAAAAGAAACAAACAATACATAAAAAGAGGAGCAGAGATATACAGGAAATCAAAAACTCCACTGAAAGCTGTAAAAAAAAGCCTCAATGAAAGTGAAGATAGAATTTCAGACCTTGAAGACAGGATTGCAGCTAGTGAACAGGAAAGGAAAGATCTTTTAAAAATGACAAGGACTCAGGAAATAACAATTCAACAACTGCAGGATGATGCAAAGAAAAACAACGTAAGATTGATAGGGATTAATGAAAAAGAAGGGGACAACATAAAGGATGTCAAGAGGATATTTAGAGAAGTAATAGCTGAAAACTTCCCAGGCATGAGATCAGAAACTGACATCAGGTTCAGTGAAGCCTATAGAACTCTAAATAGTCATAACTAAAATAAAACTACACCCAGACATATAATAATCACCATCCCAGAAATCCAACACAAGAATAAATTATTAAAAGCCGTCAGAGAGAAAAGACAGAACACTTATAAAGGAAAACCTATCAGAATCACAGCAGACTTCTCCGCACAAACAATAAAGTCAAGAAGAGCATGGAGTGAAGTCTTCCAGATTCTAAAGCAAAATGATTTCCAACCTAGACTGATGTACCCTGAAAAACTATCATTCAAAATCGATGGTGAAATACAATACTTCCATGACAAAGAACAGCTGAAGAACTTCATGAACACCAACCCAACCCTGCAAAAAATAGACAGTTTAGATACACAAAGGAAAAAACCACTAAGCAAAGCAGATAATTAAACAGAACAGAAAGATAAAGATGCAACAGCAGAAAGATAACATGTCAACAATAAACCAGCATATAACAGTTATAACCATTAATGTAAATGGTCTTAATGCACCAATCAAAAGAAACAGACTAGCAGAATGGATCAAGAAACAAAATCCAACCATATGCTGTTTACAGGAAACCCATCTAATCCAGAAGGATACTCACAGACTGAAAGTCAAAGGATGGAAAACAATACCTCACACAACACGAACCCAAAAAAAAGCAGGAGTAGCCATTCTGTTTGCAGACAATGTGAACTTTAAACCAACAATGATCATAAAGGACAAAGAAGGTCACTACATACTCGTTAGGGGAAAACTCCAAGAGGAAGAGATAACTATCAAATATATATGCACCAAACTCCAGAGCACCCAGTTATATAAAACAACTATTAACAGAAATGAAAACTCAAATTATCAGTAACACAATTGTAACAGGAGACCTTAACACACCATTGACACCAACGGACAGATCAACCAGACAGAAAATGAGCAAAGAAATAACAACTGAATCACACCTGTGAACAAATGGACTTGATAGACATATACAGAATGTTCCACCCAACATCAGAATACACATTCTTTTCAGCAGTACATGGGTCATGCTCTAAAACAGACCATATATTAGCTCACAGAACACATTTAAACAAATGCAAAAGAGTTGAAATCATCCCTTGCATGTTATCAGATCACAGCACTTTGAAATTAGAAATTAATGATAAAAGATACTGCAAAAATCCCACAAACACATGGAAACTGAATAACACACTATTGAGTAATCAGTGGGTCACAGAGGAAATTAAAGAAGAAATTAAACAATACCTACAAGAAAATGAAAATATATAGGGGCTGGGGATTTAGCTCAGTGGCATAAGCGCCTGCCTTGCAAGCAGGCAGTTGTGAGTTCGATCCCTGGTACCGATAAAAAGACAAAAAAGAAAATATAGATACAACTTACCGGAATCTGTGGGATACAATGAAAGCCATCCTCAGAGGAAAATTTATTGCACTAAGTTCCCACATCAGGAAAACAGAACGAATACAAATAACCTGATACACCTCAAACAGCTAGAAAAAGAAGAGCAAGTCAAGCCCACAGCCAAAAGAAGGGAGGAAATTATAAAAATCAGAGCAGAAATCAACACAATAGACTAAGAAAACAATCCAAAGAATCAACGAATCAAAGAGTTGGTTCTTTGAAAGAATAAATAAAATTGATAAGCCCCTAGCCAACCTAATTTTTAAAAAGGGAAGAAAAAGCTCAAATTCATGCAATAAGAAATGAAAAAGGTGAAATCACTACAGACTCTACAGAAATACAGATCATCAACACCTATTTCGAAAACCTCTACTCTCAAAGGTTTGATAACACAGAAGAAATAGATTCCTAGAAACATATGAAGTACCAAAGCTAGATCAAGAGGATGTAAAACCGCTGAATAACCCAATCTCTATTAATGAAACTGAAAATGTAATTAAGTCCTTACCTACAAAGAAGAGCCCAGGCCCAGATGGATTCACTGCAGAATTCTACAAGAAATACAAAGAAGACCTAATGCCGACACTCCTCAAACTCTTCAATGAAATTGAAAGGGAAGCAATCCTTCCTAAGTCATTCCTGGAAGCAAATATTACTCTAGTACCAAAACCTGAGAAAGACCCAACTAAAAAAGAGAACTATAGACTGATCTCCCTAATGAACACAGATGCAAAAATCCTCAATAAAATATTGGCAAATAGGATGCAGCAAATCATCAAGAAGACTATACACCATGACCAAGTGGGATTCATCCCAGGCATGCAGGGATGGTTCAACATACGTAAATCAATACATGTAATCCACCATATCAATAAAGCCCAAAGAAAGAATCACATGATCATTTCTATAGATGCAGAAAAAGCCTTTGATAAGGTCCAACATTCATTCATGATAAGAACTTTACAAAAAATTGGAACAGATGGTCTTTACCTCAATATAATAAAGGCCATTTATGACAAACCAACAGCCAGCATTATACTAAATGGCCAAAAATTGAAAGCCTTTACTTTTTTTTTTTTTTTTTTTTTGTCTTTTTCCTTTTTATCGGTACCGGGGATCGAACTCACGACTGCCTGCTTGCAAGGCAGGCGCTTATGCCGCTGAGCTAAACCCCCAGCCCCGAAAGCCTTTACTTTAAAATCAGGCACAAGACAAGGATGTCCTTTATCACCACTCCTATTTAATATAGTACTGGAAGTACTATCCAGAGCAATTAGACAAGAGAGAGAAATAAAAGGGGTAAAGACAGGAAAAGAAGTTAAATTATCATTGTTTGCAGATTACATGATACTCTGCATAGAAGACCCCCTAAACTCCATTGAAAGACTCTTTAGATATAATAAATTCAGTAATGTAGCTGGATACAAAATCAATACTCAGAAATCAAGCATTCCTATACACTAACAACAAAATCACAGAGAGGGAAATAAGAGAAACTACACTCTTCACACTAGTAAGCAAAAAAAAAAAAAAAAAAAGAAATATTTAGGAATTACTCTTACGAAAGAAGTGAAAGACCTATACAGGGAAAATTATAATACACCGAAAAAAAAAACTGAAGATGATCTCAGAAAATGGGAAGACATCCCTTGCTCATGGATAGAAAGAACAAACATTGTAAAAATGGCCATTCTCCCAAAACTGTTACACAGATTCAATGCAATCCCAATAAAAATACCATCAACATATAAGTCTAGAGAAATCACTCCTAAAATTCATCTGGAACCAGAAGAGACCTAGAATAACAAAAGCAATTCTAAGCAGCAAAGGCAAGGCAGGACTTGAAGTTATACTTCAAGTTAGACTTGTTTGAAGTTATACCACAATCCCTGACTTGAAGTTATACTACAAAGCAACAGTAGTAAAATCAACATGGTACTGGAATCAAAACAGAGACGAAGATCAATGAATAGATTAGAAGATACAACCACAACTACAAACACACTCAACCACCTTATCTTTGATAAAGGAGCCAAGCAGGTTCACTGGAAGAATGACAGTCTCTTTAATAAATGGTGTTGGAAAAACTGGCTCTCCATTTGCCGAAAACTAAAGCTAGACCCACGCCTATCACCATGTACTAAATTAAAATCTAAATGGATCAAAGATCAGAATATTAAAACAGAAACACTAAATCTATTGGAAGACAAATTGGGTAGAAACCTTGAAGACATGGGGTAGGTAGAGAATTCATGAACAGGACTCAAACCGCACGGGATATACTTCCCAGAATCAATAACTGGGACCACCTCTTATTAAAAAGTTTCTACATGTCAAAAGAAATCTCCAGCATAGTGAAAAGAAAACCCACAAACTGGGAAAAAATCTTAGTGAACTCCCCCTCAGACAAGGGACTTTTGTCTAAAACATAATAAAGAATTAAAAAAAAACTCAGACTACCAAAATTCAAAGACCCAATCCAAAAATGGGCATCTGAGATGAATACACACTTCTCAGATGAAGAAATACAAATGGCAAATAAATACATGAAAAAATGTTCATCATCATTGGTCATTAGAGAAATGCAAATTAAAACCACACTGAGATTCCATCTTACTCCTGAAAGAATGGCCAGGATCAAGAAAACCAACAACAACAAATGCTGGAGAGGCTGTGGGGAAAAAGGAACTTTCCTACACTATTGGTGAGAGTGTAGACTGGTACAACCTTTGTGGAGGTCAGTCTGGAGATTCTCAAAAAGCTGGGATTGGAAGTCCCATTTATTCCAGCTATTCCACTTCTAGGCATATTCCCAGAACTGAAAGCATCATACCACAGTGATATTATGTGCACCTATGTTTATAGCAGCACAATTTATAATCGCCAGATCTTGGAAACAACCCAAGTATCCATCAACTGAGGAATGGATAAAAAAGTTGTGGTATTTCGATACAATGGAGTATTACTCAGCTATAAGGATCACATTGAGATATTTATCAATAAACGGGCGCAGCTTGAGACCATACTCGTGAAATAAATCAATCTCGCATGTGTGAATACTGAATAGTTTCCCTAATGTAAGTAATGATTCAAATATATAAAAGTATGTGGTAATCATGATTCCCCATTATGTGGCCTTGAAGCCTTATAAAGTTTTCACTTATCAATTGGAATGGCTTTATTCTGGGCTGCTTGACATTATTGGCTGTGATGAAATGAGCAGCTATTTTGAAGAAAATAAGTCATCATAATAGCTAGTGCTGATTTACTATCATCTTGTTTTGAAGCCCCACCAAATTATGGCTCTTCTGTCTCCATTGGTTTTATCATGATGCATCTTGCTGGATTTTATTATATGTGATAGTATAAACAAAAATTGTTATAGGCAAAGAGATAATATAGAAACCATTGTTCGTTTTCTGTTAGCTGGTTCTAAATACCCTACAATGTTTTCATCCACTTGAATGGTTTTACACTGACTTGGTATGTTTGAAGCTATAGTATATGAAGTTATATTCAAATATTTCAAGGAAAAAGACACTATGGTAACTACTATTAAATCGGGTTATTTGGTGGTGAAGCACTAGGTTGCTGAAACTGTCATGCTTTGACCTGTATCGTTATGCTGTTATATCCTCTTTTATCTCAGTCTCTCCCTTATTCATTAAAAAAATTAGTTATTTTTTATTTTTTAATTAAGGGGAAAAATCAAAAAAATTAGGATATATTATAGTAACTTTGTTGACTTCCTATTAACTTGAAGTTCTGTAATACTCCCACTATCTTATTTTGACTGATTAGACTCTGTTCCATTCTGTATGATAGTATCAAGTTTGAGGGTATAGGCAACTACTTTGAAGGCAATTAAGATTCACTATGATGCCCATTCTGCTTTGACTATTATCTTCTTTGGAAGTCCTATTTACAAGGTTTAGGTTTTATTGGTCTTGTTCTCTACTGTTTTGTTTAACTCTGTAATACCTAATGAGATAGGCAATTCTTTTTAAGGAAGCAAGAGGCATTATGGTAACCATTGTTGATAACCTTGTACTCTGTTTTTACATCATGTGCTATGTCTATCCTTGGTTTTGACTGACAGCAGTGTTTTGCCATATTTGACTTTATTCTCTTCCCAAAAAAAGTAATAAGAACTTATAAGGAGTAATAAAATCCAAAATGTATAAATTTTGCTGTAAAAAAAGAGAGGGAAAAAAAGTGCTCTAAAAGATAAAACTGCAAGTGTGTTTAGGCGTGTTAAATAGATGACCATATAGTTTTTGGTTGGATCATTGAACAGAACTGTTTGCAGTCTCACTGTTTGAATGTCCACTTTGTATGCTTTGATACTGTGACTTGAGCAACTATCTCTAAGATGATAATATGTAATCTATTAACTGGTGATTTCTTACTGTTTTTTTTTTGTAGTTCTGTTTTTTTTTTTTTTTTTTTTGTAGTTCTGTATTACCCTTCCACCACTTTGTTTTGTTTTTTCTTTTAAATAAAATTTTTAAAAAAGAGGAAAAGAAAGTGTTCTAAAGGTATTACTGTGTGTACATTTAACTGTGTAAGATAGATAACCATATTACTAAGTTTCTGTTGGATCATTGAACAGAACTGTTTGCACTCTCACTGTTTGAATGTCCACTTTTTATGCTTTAACTTTGTAAGTTGAACAAGTATTTCTAAGATGACAATACGTAATTTCTTAGTTTCTTTAAAAATTCTGTATTATTTGTACCCTTTTTTGGTTTTTTTCCTCTTTCTTGCTTTTTTAAATAAAATTAAAAAAAATAAAATGAAAGAGCTGGGGGCGCAGGTCACTACACCTTCTGACTGACTCCGCTTGGTGTTTATTACTGAAGATGTGGGTTTTCCCTTATTCCTAGTGTGTCAGTTTCTAGGTGGACCTGGCATGGAGCTCCATTCATTCTGATTAACAGACACTTCTGCATTTTCCGCATCAACAATGTAACTGAAATAGTGACAACTTCTTTTTTTCTGTCCAACTGTGTCCTCCCACACGCCCACATGTGCTGTGGGGAAGAGGGGTGCAGTGACCACGGTTACTCCTTGGCTCTGGGGGTGCCATTCTGCCCATACTGTGTTACAGCTGGACAAACTTCCGGCCAATGCTCTGGCTGAAGGAACTTCTCTTTTATTCCTACCCACAGAGGCTGCATTTCATCAACTGTCAGAATCTAGCCATGTACTGTACTTTTTGTCTTCTGTAAATATGGTACTTTTCTCCCTTTCACTCTCAAGCCGAATTTTGATCCTTAACCCACTTTGGGTGCTATATACTATCTTGTTCTAGAGATACCTGCCATGTAGCTTAAACTGGCCTTGAACTTATTGCAACTCTCCTGTCTCAGCCTCCTGACTGCTGGGATTACAGGTGTGTGCCACCACACCCAAGCAGCCTACTACATACTTTCACAGATTGACAGAGTCAAATGTCTCTGCCACTTTCTCATCACTGGGACACACCTGCAAATGTGAGGGAGGTGGTCAACTGGCTCCACGTGGAGGGCAGGACAGAGGGCCTGGAGAGAACAGCAGAGGAGGTAGGGCAGGGCGGACAGGAAGCAGAGGGAGAAGGGAGGAGCTGGGAGGGAGCCTGACCTCCCAGACCCTGCCCTGACTGCAGTCAGTGGTCCATGCTCGGAGGGCCCGCAGCAGCCCCGGCCTGAATCTCAGCGCAGCTCTGAGTGCCTGCCTTCAGCACTTCCACTGCTTTCTTCCCAGGATGGGTCCAGGTCGTGCTGCTGCCCTAACGTGCACTTGCCAAGTGAGGACCCCACTTCCACCCTCTGAAGCCCAAGTGTGCCCTGGTGGGCTCAGCATGCACGGAGAAGCTTTTCCTGTCCCGCCCTGTTAGCAGCTCACATCTCACTTCCATGTGACGGTCCTTGCAGCACGACCGACCACCACCGGTGCACGGGCAGTCACCTCCCTCTGCCTCTGCCAGACCTGGAGGGCCGGGGGGAGCCCTGGTGCTGCCAATCGCCATGTCAGTCTCCGTTCCCTACTCGAGCCTCCCTAGCTCTCAGTTCCACAGTCAGACCAATGGCTACAAACACAGGTGAAAGCATCAGAAGAGGACACACGTAGTGAAATAAGAAAAATAGTTTAATAATTACATTGATGTCGCACGCACACGAGGAGCCAACCACAGGCCACGGGCTGTGATGCGGCCATTTCTGCACAGCAGGCTGGGCGCATGGGGGAGGGCTCCCACGCCACTGCCAGGTCCAGAGGCCGCGGCTCGGCATCTTTAGAAAGGAAAGTGCTTTGCAGCTGCAGGACAGGAAGCGGCTTCTGCTCGTCCCTGCAGATGAGCACCTGGAAGCAGCCAGGTCACACTCCAGCCCTAGAGGCCCCACAGCGGAAGTGGGCCAGGCAGCAGGTGTATAAGGCCTGCTTGAAGACAGACACCCGGTGCCCCAGGGAGCCCAGAAGAGATCCGTGGAGAAGGCAATGTGGCCACGCGGCAGCCATGCTGAAACCATGAGTGCTCCAGGATGAGTGTTCTGCTGGTCCTTTAAGCAGATCTGCAGGACATCGCGTTGGGCCACAGCGGCCACGCCACCAGGCCACGGAAGAGTCGAGGAGAGTTGTTCCTGAGTTAGAATCTGCCCTGGCGGCAAATCACTCAACCTTCATGGTTTATGCTGCAACACCCACGTGTCCCCAAAACACTTGTAAAAACAGCTTGCAAGACAGCGTTGGCCTTTACCTGCTGCAGCACAAGCTATGAAACGTTAACTGGGAAGCTGGCAATTCCAGCACAAGGCCGACGCAGGGCAGGCTGGACTCTGGACCGGCCAGCCAGCAGCAGTGCGTGGAGGAAAAACCAAGGACAGCTCTAAGGCATCCAGAGGTCTCCAAGTACAGAAGACCTGCATGCCAAGGGCTCAACACAATCCCCACCCGGTGTGGGTGGCCATGCTGTGGCAATGGCACAAGGCTGGGGCTCTGCTCTGAAGACCAAACTGCCGTGGTGAAGCTGACTACAGCCGGGAACTGCCCTTTGAGAGCAAGGGGACCATGGCCAAGCTCCCATGGTTGGCATCACTGGCTCCTGATGCGCACTGACCTCAGCCCACGTGTGCTCCAGCCGTGGGTCCAAGACGGCCACATGCAGAGACATGAGCTGTCCCATGGCCAGGCTGCCAGGATCGCACTGACCTGAGGGGCACGTTGCTTTATTCCAACTCGGACAGAAGGGGAGGTGTGGCAACTGTGCCAGGGTCAGCCTTGGGGCACCACTCGCAGCCTGCCTCATTCTCTTTCTCAGAGCTGCATGACCACAATAAATAACATCGTATGTACAAGTCCAGTCTCCCCCAGGGGAGGGTGGACAGTGCACCTTCAGGACTCTTGAGGAGCCGAGGCAGAGCCTGTACTCGGACCCCAGACGCTGCAAGCGAACCCAGGAACCTCCATGTGGGAGTGGCATGGGCACAGGCCTCATGGCGGGATAGGGGTGCCACTCTCCTAGGATACAGGGCTGAGTGTCCTCAGCCTAGCCAGAGACACAGGTCGCTGCCCTCTCAGAGATGGCTTTCGACTCGCACTCAGAGCACCGTGGAGACTGAGGCAGTGGGGACAGGTTGGGTGCCGGCCCAGAGGTGGTGGAGAGGGCACAGGCCCCGGCAAGGAGCCCAGGCATACACCGAAGGTGCACCCAGAGCAGGTATGTACAGGAGGCGCGGCACAGTGTGTCCACACACCCCACCACAGGGGCAGGCGCTGCCCCACTGCCAACAAGGTGATCGACATCAGCCAACTCACACAGCTCAAGTCCTCAGGGGCGGCTCCTCGTGACACTCACAGTTCCCAGTGTCCCCCCAGGCCTGCCCCAGCCCCGGCAGGGAAGGCTGCCTGTCCTCACAGGTTAGTCTCGTCCCAGGCGGGATCGTTCATGTTCTTCAGCACCTTGCGCACTAGCTTCTCCAGGTCTTTGCGGGCCCTCTGCTCCTCCTCCAATGACTTCTTCATCTTTTTGTTATCCTGCAAGCCAAGCATACCCAGTTGGCCTGATGCCACTGCTCCCTGGAGGGGCTGACTGAGGTCCACCTGTGGGACACCAGAGTTGTCCTCGGGGAACGGGCACTCCCCAGATGTCATGCTGGGCAAAGGCTGTGGCACTGCACAGCTTCTCTTCTACAAGAGCCAAAGTGTAAATAACAGCAGCCGACAGGAAGCAGGCAGGGGAGCTCCGATAAACGGGAATACACAGATGGAGACCAATGGCTTCCCATGCTGGGTTTCCCAATCACTGTCTCCTCCAAACTTTTTGTTTTGCTTATGGGCAGTCAGCTTCATTTCTAGTAATTTTACCCTTTCTTGAATCAATAAGAGATTAAAATAAATTGTACCTGTCTCAGCTCTTGGACTTCGTCCCTCAGTGCATATACAGTGTCCACAAGGCTCCTGCAGAGGGCACAGAACCACGTAAGTGGGAAGTCCTAAAGGACCACTTAGGACTTGGGAGGCTGGGCCTAAATCCCACTCTGGTAAGGCAGCCCAGCCACCCACTTGGAGGACAAGGCCCCTGAAGTCGCTGGGAGGCTCTTACTTCTCCTCGATCACAGTCTGACCATTGCTTTTGGTCTCTTCCACTATGATTTTCTCTTCTTCTGGAAGCAGAACTTGCGGGGCACATTCTTTGCGAGAACCTGAGATGGTTAAAGAGAAAGAAGAAGCCCAGATGAGAGCCAGCAGTAAGCCAGGAACAGACTACACAGCATCACCTACATACTGAACCCCAGCGGCTGCGAGGCCACAGATTCACCAGGACAGACGGGAAGGGCGCCTCCTAGCGCCTGCACAGCCGTCCCCCGACTGTGGTGCTCTCCTGCCCGAAGTGTCACAGAGAAAGGGACACCAGCTTTCTCAGTTTATTAGACTCCAGTTCCGGATTCTGGGTTACAGGGCTTTTCAACACTAACATTTTCATCATCAAGTACATCAGCGGGCAGAGCCTTGGACATTCAACCAGATCTTAAGTCATCATGACCACTCCAGCAACGTCATAAAGACACACCAGGCCGTGTAAGACACAAACACGGAGAGTTTATAAGTTCAAAAGTTGACAATTAAAACAACTTAACGCTACAGCAACATCCAAAAATAAAGATGGAGCACAAGGTTTAGGACAAGTGAACTTTATTATTCTCTTGGTGGTTCATGAAAACCTCACCCTCCACTCCCTGGAACACAGGCATCAATTTTCTAAGTAGGAAGCGAGTCATTGGCAGTCACAGCACAGTGCCCTCATCCAACCACACGGAGCTGCCCTCCTGAGGGCAGCTGTGAAAGCTAGCCATTCATTTCAGAAGGGGAGGGAGGGAGAGAATCGAACCCAGGTAAGGACCGAGGAGGGAAAGGCTTTCTTACCAACGTCAGTGTGGTAACAGGCACCATTTATATTTCTGAAACAGCCCCGTGGCAGCTGGGGCAGGACAGAACCTACCACAGACACAGGCTCTCACAAGAGTGATGGGACAGGTGAAAGGCTTCTCTGGAGAAGAGTGTGCTTGTGGCTGGGGACCGGCTGGCCAGCTGTGGTGGCAGTGGCGCACTCGCATGGCTCTGTGCCTCTGACACACAGTTTGTCCCTAAAGTCTGTCAGTCCAAGCACACATGCACTGCACACCCTGGTTGCACAGAAACTTCAAGACAACAGGAGCCTTCTGTTGACTTCAGACAGAAGCATGACCCTCTTAAGGGGCCCGTTCCACACCCAGTGCTCAGTGAAGGCTCACTGAATGGACTGCTGCACACTGGAGGTGCCCCACTACGGAACAGCCCGAGAATGCAGTCTGCGCAGCGTCCCAGGGCAATCCCTGTGCATCCTAAAATCCCATGGCAGGAGGCTGACAATCGTCATACTGCTGTCCTCTGCTGTGAGCACAGCACGGGGGACAGAGCTCCAGTGAGCCATCGGGCACCATTCTGCGGCTCACAGGGAGAGTGGCCGAGAAGCACCTTTTACACCCATGAAAGGAGGCACTTTTGGCACTGAGAGTGACTTTAGCCTTATCATCAAACACCTGTGAGGAGCAGATGACAGTATGCCTGTCCACACAGGCAGTTTGGTCCATGCTGTGGGAGGGAGAGGAGTACCACAGGCCCCAGGGAACCCAAACTGCCCACCTTGCCCACAGTGACCTGGCCTCGGCGTCCCAGGGGACATGCTTTTAAAAGTGTCACTGGGTTGACAACATGCCTGCCAGGACTCTGACAGGATGCAGACATGGACAGAGGCCTCTCCTGGGACACGTGGGCCGCAGAAGAAAATGCAAAGAGCAATCCAGGACCAAGCCTTGGCCCCTGCCAGGTGGCACTCCTCAGGGCTCCCGTGTGCAGAGGTCGCCTGTCTTCAGAAGGAAAAGTGAATTCCTGTGCAATCTGCCCAGGAAAATACAAAAGGACTACAAAGATCAGACATTTCCACCACATGGAGAAAACAAACGCCCTGCTGCACCTGCTGGGACAAGAAGCCCACAGGTAACTGTTCCCCAGCCGGGGAGCCAGCAACGTGACAGCCAGGTCAAAACGAACTACCAGCTGCCCACCAGCCGGGCTGAGGCAGACTCTTCAGTCACTTTGGTCTCTTGAAGCTAAATGGACAGCCTGTGCCTCACATTCATTGAGTTTGCAAATGTCACAGAGGAGATTCTCACAGGACAGCTCTGCAGAGGGTGGTCCTGTGCCTCAGGAGACCTGAGCCTCCTGCATCACCAGGCCCGATTCGACACTCCGCAAAGCTGTCCCAATCTCTTACCAAACAAATGCATGGTTCAGGGCTGTCAACTCCACCAAGTAACAGTTAACTGAGGAACCAAACCCACAGGCCTGCGAAGCAGCTGTGTGGGCGACCCCTGAGTCTCTTTTTCCCGGCAGCTACTGATTGGACCTAAGAGCGCTCTACCTCTACGTCCCTCGCTGTTCTTATTTCTACTCTGTAGTTTGAGGCAAGGTCCTGCCAAGTTGCCCAGGCTGGCCTTGCACTTGCGATCCTTCAGCTTCAGCTTCCCACATTGCTGGGATGAGAGGTGTGAGCCACTGTGCCCTGCACAGGTCTCACTTTCGCAAATATGCTTAAAGCACAAGAAACTCATGAAGTACGTTAACACTGTGCGCCTGACAGCACCTGCGCCCAACAGCATGTGCCAAATGCGTGATTCTGGAAACACAGTCCTGCGTGAACCACCACCCAGGACAGCTGGCGGCGTGTGGGCACAGAAACCTCCTCCCATCTACCATCAGTCGCCACAGTGCCTGCCCCTGCCTAAAACGCAACACCTGGTGACCATCTGCCTACTGTTCATGCAATACATTTCTCTAAAATGACTGAAGAAAATGGAAGAGCCTTTCAACGAAATAAGGGATATTCCTTAGCCAAGTTTACAAACAAAATTTTAGAGTAGACATCACCTTAGAAATCACTGAACTATTTTCAGAGGCATCCCAGCACAGTTTTCCTGAGTTATGCAGGCTGGGGAAAGCATATAGACAGAACCACCAGAAAATGTTCTAACACCTGATTTATCAGTACTAGAGATCGAACCTGAGAGAAGGTGCCCCAGAAGGGCTTGGACTTGAGGCTCTCCTGCCTCAACCTCCCACAGTGATGGGATTACAGGTGTTGTGTCACCATACTTGGCTGAGCATGTTATTTTAAAACTGTAATATGGGCTCAGACATTTGAACAGTCACATGGCTTAGGACAGTCAAGACCTGTGTTTCTCAAATGTCCCAGGGAGGTCAAGGACTCTGCTGTACATCATCTCAGGAAACACCAGGTGACAGCACTTCTCGGAGATCCCTAACGACCTTTACAACACTGTGTGCGGGGCTAGAGATGCAGCTCAGTAGTACAGTCTGCCTAGCAGGCATGAAGTCCTGGGTTCAATCCAAAAAAGGATTTTGATAAGCCCTGCCACAAAACTGAGACTCATCTGAATGCCATATTTTTTCTCTTTCTACACCAACACTAACATCTCGTGGCTTTCTGAATAGCAGTCTGGTAAGTGCTAGAGTGGCCTGCAAGCCCATGTCTATAAATACACAAAAGCATGGTTCCTAGGACAGGAAACACAGGAACACAACAAAGCAGCACCTTATCCTAACACCAACGCAGTGCTTCTCTTAACTGAGGATGCCAAGAACACAGCTGTGGGCGGGGGGGACGACCCTTGCAGCATGAGGGCAGGAGTCCACCTGTGCAGTCAGCTGCCTGGGCCCGTGGGGCCGCCCGAGGGCACTGTGACCTCCAGCACAAAGCGGTTTTCCCACTCGCACCAAGGCAGAGTCTCTGCTCAGTCATTGCCACATCGCTTACGGCTCTAGAACCCCAACTCGAGTCTTCCTCCCAAGAGTGCATTGAGCTCAAGGGCTTCCGGGTCCTGCTCGACACCCAGGCCTCATCCTGGCCAAGTCCCCCTTCTTCCCTCTCCTTTCACTTCACTTCCTTTGGTCTTAGGTCTTCTGGGCAAGCACTTTGCACACCGAAATGAAGATGCTGACCTTGCTCTAAATGAGACACTTTCAAAAGTTTTGTTCTATTTATGCATAAAAGCAGATAATGCTTCTTTGTGAAGACAAACTTTCCAGGGATTGAAAAACCTGTGAAAAAGGGAACCAGGTGAGCCATGAGCAGGGTGCACGGCAAGCCGAGGAAAGCCCCACTCCTGCACAAGGCACAGGAAGGGCTGCTGTCGCCCTGTGACTATACTGTCCCTCCCCGACGTGACAAACATTAAAAACCACAGGCTAGCAAATGCAAAATTTATTTCGACTGTACAGAACAGAATGTCTTTTTATAAAACAAACACTTCATGGCCGTTGCAACCACAGACAATAATATGCATACTGTACAATACAATGGACATTCAGATATACCCGAGTGAGCTTTCAATGGTGCCACGGACTTAAATGGCTTTTCCCATTCACAGATAAAGAGCACAATATATAAACTTTTTTCAAGGTCTTATTCCACTATATACACATGACTGTGTTTAGCCATTTTATGCAAAACACATGACTGAGCTTTGAAAGGCTCGTGGCCAGCGTGAGCGCCGTGGGAACACAGCTTGGCTTCTGCAGAGCCATGGGGCACAGACCCACCCTCCAGAGAGCTACATCCTCATCCCGACATGCGACTCCAGCTCCGTGGGGACACGGTCCTGCAGGCGCGGTACCCACTGCCACATAAGACCATCTTCCGGCCTGGGGCATTAATACTGCTAGCTATGTCACAAAAGTGGCGCAGGACATTGGAAACAAATGCAAACAAAGGTCAGGGGTTACTCTACAGTTACCTCGCATCAACAGAAAAGGTCAAAATGGCTTTGAGAGGTACAAAGTGAGTGGTGGTGAACGTCAAGCATTGGTGCCTCATACACTGGTGCAAATGCCCCACTGGTGCAAATGCCCACACCGACTGGTACCAGGTGCTGTGGAAACCCCACTGCAGGGGCCACGCTGCTTGGGGTGGCACACACAGCTCAGGTGGGCTGTGAGAAGGCTGAGCAGAGGCATCAGAACCCATGCTGCGACAGCCTAAGCGCACAGGTACAGCCGCTCATTTTGGAAAGGGGCCTAGACTGTGTGACATAAAACAAATTACTGCTACTCAGGCCCTGACAGACACATCCACACCCTGGAGCTTGCCCCTGCTGGCGGCCCAGTGTCACCCACCACGTTACTACAGGGATTCACACTGGGCTCCCTTCCTTATACTACTAACATAGGACTACGAGTTCCTCAGGCATCATGTGCGGCTCAGTGGCCGTCAAGACAGGAGGCACGGACTGCAGCAGTGGCTACGCCCTCACCCTCATTACAGACGTAGTGCCCCGTGTGCCGCACACCCCTGCCTGGAGCCCAAGTACACCCCGGGCTGGTGGCAAGGAGCACTCTGCACACACCAGGTCACCACACTTAACACGCGGCGTGGGAAGGGTCAGGCCTCCAGGATCCAGCTGCCCTGAAGAAAGGAAACACGTTACTCCCAACTTACACTGGTGTCCTGCTTCAGAAACTGGTTTCAATGAATAAAATACAAGCGTAAGGCTCTGTTTTACCAGAACCATGTCTGCCCCTCAGGCGACGGCCAGGTGTGGGCCATGTCCAGGGAGACTGAGCGGGCGCTGCCCCATTCAGTCCCTCTGAACGGAGCAGGGCCTGGCCCGTGGCTCTGCACAGCAACCCAGCTGACTGCAGCGAGCCTGCGGGCCAACCAGGCAGCCACGGCAGCCCCAGGTTGCTGTGAGCGGAGCTGCTGCAGCTCGAGAACAGCCAGACAGTGATGGAGCTGAGCAGCGACCTGGCGCCTCTCTGAACCAAGCCTGCACAGCTGCCTTGGCACAGGGCTCTGCCAGGTCAGCACCTGTAGGCTGTCCTGGGCCAGCCTGTCCTGTAGGCTGTCAACGGGCCATGGCGGTGTGGTGTGGCGTGGAAATGAGGGAAGGCCCGACCAGGACAGGCACAGAGGGGAAGCCAGGGGAAGCCTGGCTGTGGCAGCGCCCCTCCCTCCCTCCCTCTGTGTGGCCTCCCGGCCAGGCCTGCACCACCACACAGTCGCTGCGCACGGCAGAAACTCCTCTTATCGCCATTCCATGACAGCGCAACCGGCTCATGTTATACTTAAAAACATAGGTCCCTACGGAGAAGGCAGAACCGCCTCCAAGGTACTGGCACTTGGATCCCGAACTGTGTGGTTTTGGTATCAATATAAAAGTGTCCATATAGCTGTATCCAAAAGAGAAATGACACAGTTGCTGCACTGAGAATAAAAAACCAAACCATGTGGAGCTTTTATAAAACAACTCTCCACTGGGTGGCTAAAGCCCCTGTGCAGGCTCGGGGAACCCACCACCCTGACAGGTGGCAGCCCAGCCTCCAGAGGCTATCCCAGGAACACTCTCCAAGTCGTTAAAATATCACATAAAAGAGACAAGGAACAGCAAGAAAACATCTAAGAAAAGCAGGCTGCGATACAACAAGCATTGTTAAGAAAGCTCAGAGTGCATTAGTTCTGGTGAGAGATATATGAGCAACAGCTCTTACGAGATGCTGAACCCATCCTGTAACTATGGGCTGTCCATATACTGTCATACTCAGAGTCTTCCGAGGGGTCTGAGGGCTCCAAACGAGAAAGGCTACTGCGACGACCCAAGGAGTCTAGACTTGATTGGTCGTCGTCAGCCAAGACGTGATTATGCATCAGGTCAGTGCCTTGCCATGCTAAGACGGAATGGAGTGACAGGTGCGACAGCAGAGGTAGGGGAGGGGACGAACAGGAAGAGCCACAACCAAAACATGGAACAAAAGCAAAAGGTGATGGGAAGAGAAGGAAAAGAGAAAATATTGTTAAAAAATGGCAACAATGTTCATTTCTCCTTATTTACGGCTGGGTTTTAATAATCAATTGATTAACACACCCTCAAAACAAAACCAGATTCATCATTATCTCAATAAACTTAAGTCATCATGTGTTTCCCAAGTGCTGCTTTTTAAAGGTAGCTCTGCAAAGTCCTCCCCACATCCCACCAAGTTCTACCAGCAGTTAGCTGATTCTGGTAACCAGTGGTCTCATCTAAGACATTATTTGCAAAAGATTCCATTTAGGCAGCTAATGGAAATTATCTGCTGGTCAGTAGATGGATATATTAAATGAAAAATAACTTCGAAGGATTCTGACTGATTTCTTTTGCTCCTTCTTTGCAGAGACCCCACACCAGCAGCCAGGTCTACACTTACCTCACCCATCTATGCTGAGGGGAGACAGGACTCAGCACATGCCCACCTCCTGTCGCCTGCTTACCACGCCCACCTGCACCCTACCTGGGCAGGGGAAGTGGAGAGCAGAACCTGCTTCTTACGCCACCCACCCTGCCATAGGCTGCTGGCCTCCAAGAAGACGGGCTTGAGCTGCCCAAGGCCACTGTGCTCAAAGGGGGATTGGCAGTGGGAGGCAGCGGGCATAAGAGGGACAGCAGCAGCGCCCTGGTGGCTGGCTGCCTGCAGGGTGACCAAGCGGCCTCTGTGCCCACACACATGTGCAAGAACCTGTGACATCCCCACCCATGTCAGAACCAGACCAAAGACACTTGCTCTCTAATGTCTTCTGGGCACACAAATGGGTACAGTCCCCTCTGGGAGGAGCTGCTCTGCTGCAAGCCCACTCCCTGGGCACCTAGGGCAGGCATCTCCTGCTGCTGCCTGCACTGAGCGTATTGAGCTGAGGCCAAGCCTGATCTGAGCCTCTGACCCTGCAGGATCAAGTGAAAGCAAAATCAGCACATTCCCAGTGCTTTCCTTGGGGAGACCTGGTGTATGGGTAGTGTGGTCAGAAAAGCCCTGCAGACACAGGGTGGCCGCTCCCCCAGGACGGGACGCAGTATGAGACTCAGGCAGAGCTCACAGGCCTGATAAAGTTTCCTTCCCAGTAACTGCATCTGAGACCCCACCAGGGGGAAAGAGCTCGACTTGCATGACCCACGCTGGCACTGCAGCCCGGCCCTGCACATGCCCACGGACTACAAAGGCACCAAGGCCTTTCTGGCAGTGACAAAAGAGGCACAAAGCCTCAGTGTCCAGGGGGAAATGTGCTACAGAGAAGGCAACACTGGAGCAGTGAGAGGCTCTCTGCCACACACCCGTCCACAGCGCCAGTGCCTCGGAAAAAGCACAAGTGCACAAGCTCAGCTTAGGGAAGCACCCAGTCCAGGTGGCTCACCAGCCTGCAGGTCAGCAAAACGAAGTGGGGACAGGTGCTTGGCCAGTCAGGCAGGAGGACACTGGCTTTTATGCCAAGGTGGCAGATACAATGCCCAGTCCTCAAAAGAAAGCAAGGAAGGCACAGCAGTGGGGTCTGAGACCCCAGCTATGTGAGAGGCCAACGCAGGAGATGTGTAAAGTCAAGCCCAGCCTGAGCAATTTAGTGAGTTCCTGTCTCAAAATAAAAGTTTTGTCTTTCTTTAAATTAAAAAAAAAAAAAAAAAAAAGACTGGGGACACAGTGCAGTGCTAGTGTGCTTCTAATATATGTGAGACTCTAGGTTCAAACCCTAGCACCTCACCACACACAAAAAGAAACAGAAAATAAAAACCAGAAAACCAGCACACTAGGAAAACACAAACTGCCAGCTGCATGCCCTGTCACCCGCAGGGAGATTTTAAAAAATCACCTACTTGTCCTCAACACAAACGGAGATGTTTTACTTAAGAAACTACACATCAGACACAGGTACCTCCTGTGCACTGAAACCTATGAAAAAATTAGTGTTTCCTCCCAAACATTAAAAGAAAAAAGGCAGCCCAAGAGAGGCCTTCCTCCCAGTCTGAATTTATGATAATGCTCTTAAGCTTAAAAGGCAAACAGCACCCCTGGACCCCAGTGTGGCCCCGAAGGCCATCTCCTGCCCCTGGCCCAGCAGTGCTCTGCACTCCACACTGCCCCCTGCCTGTCCGCACCCTGGCTCCCTCAGAGCACCACCCGGCAGGTGCCCCACACACTTACTGGAGTTGAGAGTCTGCCGTGTCTTGGCGCTCGTGCAGTAGGCTTCAATGACCTTCAGGATCTGGGCATCCTCCTCTAAGGCAGCCGTGCCTGTCACGACACTCGCGTCACACCCAGTGGCCTCTACAACTGCGAGCCAAACATACCCCTCCTCCCGTCTCTTTGGGTGTTTTGTCTGAGTGACAAGGAAAATGACTACCACCTAGGGTGCCCTGGAAGCACACAATGCACACGGCCGAGCAGGGGTGGGGTCCCATGAGTTCTCCCGACCCTCCACTGCCCACAGCCTCACAGCCCGAAGCCATCTCAGGTGCCTGCTGTGGAAACTGTCTGAAAGGGAGTCCTGGGGAGCCCGTGGAAGTGCACCAGAGTCTGGGGGCGATCAGCCAGCCTGTGCACATGCAGACCCTGCACCTGAGAAAACGTGGGCTGACACCCAGGGGCCAAGGGGCAGAGCATGCCCCGTCCACTGCGCACCCCCCGCACTCACTCTTCCGCAAGGCAAACTCCTCGTCAGAAGGCTTCCGCTCAGGCTTGCGCTTTGGGAGCAACTTCTTCATGGTCTTGGGGCTCTTACTGAGATCCTGAGGACACGGAATGGACAGGACGCCCCACAGACATCAGAGCCAGGCTCCCCAGCTGCTGAGGGTGGGGCTGGGGGCAGCAGTGGCTCTGCCTTGGGCTGTGTCTTCCCAGGGGCATCTCTGGTGTTGGCCATCTGTGTGCCTAGCCCTGGTAAGGGCTCTGCAGTAACTTGGGTGCTCAGTCCGCCAGCAAGAGGGGAGGGCCCCGCTGGTACAGTTGAGGAGTAAGGAGGAGACCGATGGTGGAGTGCACTCCGACAAGCAAGGCACAGGAGGCCCAGCGCCCCATCCTTAGTGCAGATGAGGCAAGTGCCTGTGGGCCAGGGGAGGGTTCCCAAGGCCAGGGGCCCACTGGACACTGACTAAAGGTCACTTCAGTTGTGAGCACAACCTAGTGGACCAGACTGGATGCATAGGTGGAAGGGACAGAGATAGACCTTCACAGCCATCTCCAAACACACTAAACTAAAGATACCAAGAAAGGCCATGGCAGAAACAACCGCAGAAAAGGTGCACAGCACGCAGGGCGGGCTTCAGGGATCCCAGGGAAAGGTGACAAACGAGAACTCCAAAGATATATGTCACTGCCAGCCCCGTGCAAAGGACGCCAGCAAGCAGGATGAGCAGTGCTTCTCTTCTGCTGGCGAAGATGATAGGTAAGAGGACAAGCTCTCCTGAGGGACAGGGTGCCACCAGACCTCACCTTGCCACCTCCTCACCCGGTGGTTTCACCCGTCACCCATCGGTACCCTCTGCCTTCAGGTCAAGAACACAGTGACCCAGGACAAAGCCTTGGTACCCTGCAGCAGCCACCGCCAGGAGCACTCAGCCTGCCTGCATGCCTCAGGCAAGGTAACAGACACAAACAAGCCCAACACGAACTGGACACGTGGGGACTGACAGCCCACAGAGGTCTCCCGGGCAGGACAGGAACTGAGCCCCCAGGGCCACACACATCTTTCCACACTGTCCACAGCACAGTTACACAAACACCATGCTCACAACCACAGGCCTACTCACCCAGTCACCGAAATATTCTCAGGAGCACAGGACTCGAGATTAGCAGCCCCTCCCCCACTCACAATCACAGCCACGCATGTGCACCCCTGCTTGAGGTCCTAAGCTGCTCCTCTGTGGGTTTACAGGTCACACACAGACAGGGTTCCTGCTGCTGAACCCCCAGTGTGGACAATGCTGTGCTGAACCCGGGAGGCCTCACCTCCTTGTAGCAGAGAGCAGCTGAGGGCCGCAGGGGAGGCGCAGGCCGCAGGCAGCTGAGGCTCCAGGGCTTGGGGGTCTTCGGGGGTTCCAGGGGCCCCCAACTGATGGTGGTGTGTGGGGTGCCATGGTGGGAAGGATGGGGCAGCGTGTGATAGGCAGGCATCAGGGCCACAGGCTTGCTGTCCGCATGCTTGCTGGATGGCGTGATGGGGTGCGAGGGGAGCTGTAGGCAGAGACGTGGCCTGAGTCAAAAGTATTTTCGAGCCTTCACAATGAATCCAGTCCTGTTCACTTTCATCACCTTTTTTCACCTTTAGATTATTTAATAAAGTCATAATAAATAAAGTTCCAAATCATGCACAGACATGTGAGAATCCCCAAGTTCCCACCCAAGGCCACTGCAAGCAAAGGTACTACACCCAAAAGGGCCAGGCAGCTGGCCTTGGAGGTGTTGTCCTGCTGCCCCGGGAGCCCTTACAGTGTGAGATGGTATGGAGTGGGGCTTGATGGTGGGGTTGCTCACGGACGTGACCTTCGTCTGCTTCTGCAGGTGGTCCACCCACTCATGCAGGTCCTGCTGGTTGTTGCAAGACACGAGGATCCGCTCAATCATGCTCCCTGCGGGACACAAGGAGAAATGAAGCTGAGGTGCAGACATGGGCCCAGGCGCTGCACATTGTGCATGCCCACATCCAGCAACACTGACCACTCCCCTCAGGGCACACCCAGCCACACACTGCCCCTCATACTGGGTGGCCTCCCAGGACAAACGGTGCCCACATAGCTTGTGCCTATCACCTGATATCTCAAATGCATTTCTATGATTTTCACTGTCCTCGAGCTTTGTGATCATCATTCCTGTCGTTGGTAGCTTCCCCTAAAAGAGACCCCACCCACACAAAAAAACACAATTAGTGCTTTTCCAGTAAAACAGCATCATTAAAGTAAATATAAAATGACATTGGGAGCAGCAGAGGAACTGTGAGTGCCAGAGGAGCACACACTGCAGAGCCTCCACAGACGAGATATGTGGCCCTGCGCCAGGAAGCCACCCAGGAGAGGTGGGTCCCACCATGAGCAGCCTCGTCTGCTGGGCCCCCGAATACTGACACAAACCCTTCCGCATTGAGACAGGGCTAGAACACACGGCTGCCGCTTCAAAGAACACACAGACAGTGAGAGGGGATCCACTGCAAGGAAAGGGGAGGCTCCAGCTCCAAAGGAAACGACAATGGAAACTGAGGCAGAACAGGACTGTGTGGCAGCACCCTTGGGAGGAATTGTGCTAAATGCCTCATGGCTCAGGAAGGCATGCGCAGGTGAGCAGGAAATGCCAGCACAGACACTGCATGGGGTGCCCACCAGTCACGACCCACAAGGCAGGGACAGACACACAATAGCCCTAGCTCACACAAACCTGGACCCCTGGGGCCAAAGAAAGGGCATGGGCACTCTGGGTTGAGCTGCCTCAGAACAGCTCTCAGCACCCCAAAACTAGCGCCTCCAGACAGGTGTAAGAGATCTGCCCCCATAGAACACATGGCAAGGTTACTATCCCCAGGTGGTCCTGACACCCATGGGGCAGAGGCCAGAGCAGCTCCAGTCTTCTCTCCCCGCAGAGTGGTAACTGTCCAAACCATCAAGGCACACAGCTGGGACGCTGCCCTGAGCACCGGAAGCAGGGCAGCATGCTCCCTAAAAAGCGCTCAATGACACCCCCTCCCAAAAGTACATGCAAGCACTCTCTCAGCTCTGAGCAGTGCGTAGAGGCCAAGCTGGGAACTGCACAACCAGGCGCACACCATGCTCCTGCTTTGGGGCTGACACCTACCCCCCCCCAGCACCCTAAGAATGGAAATGAGCACTGTGACCAGACGTCGCCCAACACAGGGCCAGGCCAGCTGACAGAGAAGGGTTCTGGAGCATGGCAAGACAAGAGCGGGCAAGGGTTCCCAAGTGAGTGCCAGCCTCACAGGGAGACCCCACGCCCCAGGCAGCCAGCTCTTCCAGGGCTGGGGCAGGGCCCACCTTCAGCTGACCATGGAATGGGACACTGGAGTACACAGTTGGAAGCAGAGAGGGCAGGAGGGACAGGCCAGACTCAGGGGAGCTCTAAGGGGCCTCCCTGGACAGCAGCCTCACACGTCATGGTGCGGTGGTCCTAGGGATGTTCACACTGCTTCACCACTTTGCACAGTATGGCAACAAACCCTCCTGGAACGGCCAAAGCCTGCTGAGAGGGGAAAAGCCATGTCTGCTTCAACTTAGAAGTCTCCAGTCCTTGCTAGGTCAGCAGGGGAACATGCAGCAAAGAAGCATCACCCAGAAGGAGATGATCAGTGGCTCCAGATCCAGGAGTCCCTGACAACTAGCCAGGCTCTGGCAACAGCAGCTGGATCCCACCATTGCCAACCAGAGGAAGCAGAACACAGTGCCTGCACAACCCCAAGTCTGCTCACCGGCTTTCTCTGGGAGAGCACCAGTGTAAGTCAAGCTAACTGACCATAGGCCTGTACTGTGTATCAAGGTCACCACATGGCTGACCCAAGGCCCTGGGTGGCCCCCGTCCCACAGACTGGACAACAAAACCTCAGAGGAACCAGGTGCTCTGCAGGCGGTGATACCACCACCAAGGGCCTCAGACACCACGCCACCATCTGTCCTCATAGGTACTCTCCCCGTGATACTTCCTCTTCCTTTCAGGCTGAGAAAGAACACCAGGAAACATGTGCAGTCACAGGAGGACACACCTGAACACACAGCACACATGCCATGGTGCATAGCACTGAAGGCTCAAGTTCAAAGCCAGCCTGCAAAGGAGTCTCAGGTCTTTAAGAGCAGGTTTTACCTGGTAAATGAATCCACTCATCCTGGGACTGGCAGACAACATTAACAGGAGATTCGGGAAGAGGAGAAGATATCTCTCACTCTTTTCCTAATGTAAAGAAAAATTAAAATGCATTTATTTACTAATATGACCACAAGAATTATTTTATATTAGGCCCTAGGAAACCTTATCCCATAGTTACTGTACTTCCTCTTCGGAAGTTTCCACCAGATTGTATTAAGGGAACTAAACAATAACGAAGATCGAATCTAAGTCAAGTCTTAACATGTCAGAAAACTTGGACAAACAGGGAAAGACCATGGACTAATAAATTCTTTAAAATACAATAACACAGTGGTGCTTCAGTTCACAAGTTTATTCTTCCTGATTCTAGATGGAAATCAAATCAGATGAGAACCAAATCAGATTTCCCCACAAGGTCAACACCAAGCCTAAGAAATGCACTGGATTCAGCCAATTTGGACTGTGACCAGAATCATGGAAAGAATCAGGCTCGTGAATGGAGGTACCACTATAAAGTAAACTAGATGATTAAAAGACCTGAACTCACAAGCACCTGTGTAATACCTTTGAGCGCTAACAGAGGAAGGAACCTGTCTCTACCATTAGGTATTTAATGCACCTAAAATTACTGCAGTTCAGAAAACAAAAGGAACAAGAACTCTGAAGACTTTAGTAGGGGTGGGGAGAAAATGGGTTCTCTGCCCTTGAGGAGTGCTGACATAAACCCTGATTTGTCATACTCCTGACACTCCCCTAACCCCTCGGTATGCCAATGAAATGCTGTTCTCATCCACCCCATAAACTTCTGGTCTAGATGAAGGACTTTCTTTCTTTACTGGTACAGGGAACTGAACTCAGGACCTTGCACTTACCTGGCAGGCGCTGCACCACTGAACTATATCCCAGCCCCATGAGGCAGTATGAACTATTTGCTTCAATAAAGCAACAAAACCAAAGAAGCCATACCTAATGACAAAAATTCCCAAGAACCTAACAGCAGATGGAGAAAGGCAACGCCAGATACTCCTGTTTATGGACTGACGCCTAGTCCACTGCTCGAGGTGGCAGAAGAACACTAAGAAGAGGCCAGAGCCTTCAACACCACTGCTGGGCCCAGCACAAAGGGCCTTGCGGGGTGGGAGGTGGGAGGTGCTACTTGAAGGAAGTCACTGGAAACAACTGTCAGTTTCTCCTCTCAGACTCACAGCCCTGGCAAGGGACACACTCAGCAAAACCTCAGGTAGTGGCAGTGGGAGACCTTACCAGGTGTGGCCTGAGAACTCGGGGCCATGCTGGAGCACCCACCGTGGCAAAGTGGGCCTGCACTATGAAAACACATGTTGAGAAATGCTTCCACAGACCAGCTCAGGCAAAGTGTAAAAATTACGTAAGAAATACTGCTGGAGAGAGCTGGCTGCGTGGTGAGTAAGCAAAGTCACTATTTCTTCTAGCACCTAAACCACCAGAGCTTTACCCACAAAGAGGGTGCCATCTTGAAATTTTGAAGGTGGAAAGAAATACACACTGTGAGTACAAGTTCAGTTTTCTTCTTGCTGAATATTTTTTGCAAAGGCAAAATAAAACTTAGGAAGAGATGGCTGCTCAGTGACTCGATACACACATCACATATGGATAGTGAATGGTGGTGGCAATCATCCGAGAATCTGGTTTCATCTCTTCCTTCCCCAGAGCCATGAGAGTTCAGTAAGTACCAGTCAGGACGTGTTCATAGGGAAGACGAAGGGCCTCAGCCAGCTTGTGTCTAGATTTTCCCCCAAGCCTCACGCATTAATAGGTGGGACTTTTCAGAGGGGGCTGGATCTAGAGTGTGTGATAGGGGACTGATTCACATGCGACGCTAGGACTCAGTAGACCCACCCTGGGTGTGAGCACTGTGCACCCTAAGGCGTGCCGCATGGATCAAATGTAAGGGACAGAAAGAGAGGTGCTGTTGCTGCTGTTGGTCACTCACTGCCACCTCCCTGCTTCGCTGCCTCCTGCCCATCATGAGCTGCTTTCCCCTCTGCAATGCTGCTCTGCCTTGCAGCCAGCCAACTGTCAACTGGAACTTCTACAAACCATGAGCTACAATTACCTCTCCCCCTTTAACCTTGGATATTAGGTATTGCACCTCAGCCATGAGAGAAAATTAACTACTGCAGGGTTTAACCCCAGGGCAAGAACAGGGCAGCCCAAGTGTCTGCACACACCATACCCCTCTCATCCTGGGCCCTACCTTTCAGCTAGCAAGCACCAAGCTGAGCTGAGCCAAGCTGAGCTGTAGTCTCAAGCCACCCACTCAGCTTTCCACTCCTTCACTGAGCTCTAAGTCTCTCCATACTGCCCAAGGAGGAACAGCGGAGCAAGCCAGGACTCCCGAACGGACACCACGGGAGAGTCCTCACCACCAGACGGTGGGGTGGCACACAGGGCTGCGTACCTCACTCCCGGCACACTGAATCATGACCTGCGACATGTAAGTGACGTTGCCCAGTGTCTTAATGTCGTCTCCCTCCCAGCTCCGGATGGATTCTGTCAGGATCTGCAGCTCAAGCTCCTTCCTTTTCCGGACCTCTTGGCACTGGACCTACAAGTCACAAAACACTTACTTCCAAGAAACCAAAGCTCCCAGGAACACGCATCCTGATCACAGAACTGCTTCTCCTGGCAGGCACTGCTCACACACTGCAGCTTCATTTTTGGTGCCAGGGATCAAACTGATGACCTCATGCTTGCCAGGCAAGCACCTGTGCCACTGAGCTACATCCCCAGCTCTCACACTGCTTCCTGAGACACAGGACACACTGAGTGGCTGACCTCCCTGTATGGCACCAAGACAAGATGTGCAAATATTATTTTAGAAAAACATCACTTCTAGAACGAAAAATGTAAAACAGACAAGAAAAATATTTTTGTTGTGGCTTAACTAGTGTCTGCCGCCAGGAACAGACTGAGAAAGAGGAAAAGTGGAACCACAGGTGGGGTGGTGAGAAAGCACAGGAGTCAGATGCCGCAGTCCAGGAGTGAGAGGGCAGCTCGGCGCCTCGGGCAGCATGCAGACCCTGAGACGGAGGGGAAGGAGAAGACCGCAGAGCTGGCCACACTGCCACACTGGCCCCTCAGCCTGGGGAGTCCCAGTCATCAAGTTCTACTGCCTGCTTCTGTTTATTTCATCTGAATAAACATTTGACTCAATTCACAGTTATTCTATCATCTAACTTGCCTGCTGCTGACTCTACATTTACTTGCCACAATAACGTCTGAGGGAAACAGAATATGCTCAATCACTTACCGAGAGGGTCTTGAAGGCAGTCATAGATTTCTGAATATCTTGTCTATCAGGATGATAATCCTTTGGAGAAAGAAATGCACAATTAGCTTTCAAAATCCAAGTAACCCCTGCAAGGCGCCCTCCACAGGCTGGCCTGAAATGTCCCCCCTCCCAGCAGCCCGGCAGCCCAACAGCCCGGCGTACCCGCCCTTCGCAGCCTCGGGCAGCCCGCCACTTCTGTAAAGGGGGAATGGGACTGAGGGCACAGGAGTCAGAGACAGCACCTGCTCTGCGCTGACACTGCATGGAAGCACGGGACCCTCCCGGCTCACAGGCCACCCCAACTTGGCCCCTGAGTGCAGAGCTGAGGGCAGCTGGCTCCCCAGTACCTGCCAGGCCTACAACGTGCTACTCAAAAGGACAGCAGATGTGGATGAGTTTACTGAGGTGGCCTCTGTGACACAGGCACCCACTGTTTGCAGCCACATGTCCCTGATACCACCTGAAAATCAGTCTGTGTGCTCCAAATTCTGGAAGCCTTTTCACCACAGTGGTGAAAGAGACTCAAGATCAGGAGAAAAATGTTTTCTCACAGGCCCAGGGCAACACATGGAAACTGTACGCATATTAAAATCATTCTGAAATCCAGTGGCTGTGATTCTGGTAAACTATGCTGTCCCTGGCGACCATGACCAGCCCGGAGCAAGGCACCTCCATGTGTCTCTCCAGCTCCTTGAGCAGTGTGGGATACTTGTCCAGGCGCATGAATGGCTTGCTGAGGCCGGTGGTGAGCACGAGGATCCCAGGGCTGCTGGCCCCCTTTGTCTCCATGAACTCCCCGAGCTCCTCGCTGGGTAGCAGGCAACAAAGAGAGGATATTCGTGGTTAGAACAAGAGATGGACACCCCCGCCTCACAGCCACCCCAGGAAGGACGCAGAGGACTGTGAGGCTGGCCAGGCACCAGCACCATGGCACAGAGATCCTGCAGGAGCTCCTGGCAATGCAGCTGGGGGCACATCCACCACCACAGTGTCACATGCTCCCAGGATGCAGAGTGGACCCCAAGCTACCTCCAGAAAAGAAATAAGGTGAGGTCTCGTTATCACCCTATGGTCCTTACACAGTCGCCTTCCCAGTCACTCTGGGCTTTTTAAAACCTTTTCTCAAGAACATCATAGGGCCATTCCCCCCTTATAGAAGTGGGGGGGCTGCCCGAGGCTGCGAAGGGCGGGTGCGCTGGGCTGTCGGGCTGCTGGTTGGGGGGACATTTCAGGCCAGCCTGTGGAGGGTGCCTTGCAAGGGTTACTTGGGGACCGGCAGTGAGGCCTGCAGGGCCCTCTGGTCCTGCTGCTGAGAGGCAGACAGCCCTACCTCTCACCACAAGGACACCTCTGCCACCCTGGCACTGACCTCTGCACAGGAAGGGGTAGTGGCCACTCCCCCTTCCCCTGCAGCCTACAGCACTAGGCCCTGGAAGGAGGCCCAGGAGAGCCATAACACTGGGCAGGGACACTACACCCTCACTGTCCAGCCCTCCTCAGGACACCTACATCCTGTGGCCACTCAGGCGACACTCCACAGGTGTGAGGAGAGTAACCCTGATCTCACCACCAGTATGCTGGGAACGCATCTGCACAGGGCCTCTTCCCCAAGCTAAACACCAAGGAAAACTGTCCAGCCATAAGTGGCATCTCAGTGTTTAGTGAGATGGCCTGTCATCATGGCAGGAGATAGTTAACAAAACTGAGGTAGCTATGCTCCTAATCCCCTTCTGAGACCTCTACAACGAAGTTACATTTTGGGAGCCAGGTATGGTGGTGCACTCCTATAATTCCAGCACTTGGGAGGTTGAGGCAGGCAGATCATTGCAAGTTCAAGACCAGCATGGACTACAAAGTGAGCTCAAGGTGGGTCTGAAGCATAGAGGGAGACCCTGTCTCAAAAAGACAAAAAAAAAAGTTACATTTTGGAAGCAAAACTAACTTCTAACACCCACACAACAGTCTTCAGATGCCAGAAGCCAAATGTTACTGTTTCTATCTAGGTATCACCAAAGCCTCAGGGGCTACTAGGCCAGCCTCATATCAGGCTGGCCCATCAGTGAGTCTATAGCTGAAGATGACACTGGGAGGCAGAGCCTGTGGAGGAGGCAATCTCTGGGGCGTAGCCTGGAAGGGACTCTGTCCCTCCTCCTCCCTTGATCTCTCTCCCCTTCAAGTTCATCAAGCTGTTTCTCCTCTACCAGGCCCTCCTGCCTTGGAGTCAGCTCACTAGGGACTGAAACCTCTACAGATTGAGATTCAAAATAAAGCTCTCCGCTCAGAGCCATGGGTATCAGCAACACCAAGAACACCAAGTCAAGAAATACAACTGCACACATCTTCTCACAGCCCCATTTCCCGACATAGTTTTTAGTACACAATGACATAGACAGCTACCTGCAGCTGGTAACAAAGCAAAGCGGTGACCCATGGCAGACAGAAGCTGAGCTCCCCCAGCTCAGGAGCCTAGGCAGGGAGACAGCACTTCCTGTTGCCACTGCCTGCCTGTTCTGAGGGCAGCTCTTCTCTGTGACCTCCCAGACCACCCGTGTTCTATGGTGGGACCTCAGACCAATGCCCGCTGCACCCCTACAAGCCATACAGGGCAGGTGCAGGACGCTTCCCATCAAATCCTCTTCTGCATCCTTACTGCTGGTTATTCCGGGAAGATGCCACTGGCCTTCCAGGCAGAACACAAAGAGCCATTGAGGTAACAGCATATAGAGGACCAGGCCCTGCCCACAGCCAACCCCTGTGTACACTGTGATAGCCGTGGTTGCTGCAGACATCCCTACTTCTCAGGACACATGCTGCCCATCCTGTGCAGCTCCACCCTCTATGACCAGTGCTCTCCCCACCTACTGGGAGAGTGGGAGAAACACACTGTCTCATGACAGTCTGTTATTTCTACTTGCTTGCTGTGTATCACCCTCAGGGCTGTATCACACTTCCCAAGTACGTTAGAGACACAGGCCTGACGGGTATATGTCCTCATGTGGAAATCACACTTCCCTTCTGAGTTTCAGAGGGGATGGGTGCGTGAGGACAGGTTCTGGGGCGGCCTTTCCTGTATTTTCTCCCCATTACAGGGAGTTTGAAAATCGTGAATGGCGAGGGCACAGGGTTACTCTCCCTGACATGACAAGCCAGCATGTGACGAGCCTTCCCTGCCTGCACTCCAACCTGACCAGTTCCTCCAAGTCTGGCTCCACGCTGCCCGGGGGCCTACAGTCAGTGACCTTCAGAGGAGGGAGCCCACGATCCTGCAGGCTGACTGAGCCTGGCAACAGCTGTGGGCCGGCCCAGGTTCCAGCACATTCCCCACAGGGCAGACGGGTGGGCTCACAAAGCCGTGTGGCTTGCGAGCTTGAAGTTGCAAAGTTCCCTGAGAATAAGCTGAAGCGAACACCAGAAATGAGGAACACGATGGCTTCTGTCTTGATGCCTCTGAACACTCTTTCCACTTATAGTTCTGACTGCATCTGAACTGCTGCTTTTGAAGGAAACCACGGCATTTCTTCTAAAATGTTAACTACATGTCAACCCTCTGAGCTCTCCCGCCTCCTGTGAGGTTACTGGACACAGAGCCAATTCTTGGTTCTCAAGTATGCATGGTGCCTGGCTCTCTGTGATATCTCGGACTCCTCAGTGACATGGCCTCCCAGTTTGCAGAAGCGGCACTGCTGGGACTCTTAGAGCAAGTGCAAGGTCCCTGCCGTTTCTATTTTGGAGTGAAGGGCTCAAGGCAGAGGCCTCCAACCCAGGGCTCTGCCTAGAAACCAGGCCCCTTGGAAAGGGTCCCAACATCCCACATGACCCTGCATCTGCAGCTGCCCGCTTACCAGCCCTCTAGGCCTGGATGCAGGGGCACCAGGACCCTGCTCCATCACAAACACAGTGACCCACATTTTGGAGTTCTCGGCAGCACTCCGAGCACTAACTCTGAAGGATAAAATCATCCACCATCCCCTGTGCTCCAACATGTGGGTGAACAGACCTGTGCTCGGTGAGGACGCTCACAGCAGATGGGTGGTTGGCACAGTACGCGAGATACAGAGTCCTCATCTGCGGCATCAGGTTCAGAAAGCAGCCTCCCACTCGCTGCTGGGCCTCGGGTGACCTGCAGACATGGACATGGAGGGGACAGGCATCAGGCACACGCAGGGACACTGCCAAGTGACAGACGCACAGGCCTCTCGTGTTGGTTACTTTTCTCTCTTTGCTGAGACAAAATATCCAACACCCAAAATGAAGGAAGGGAAAATTTATTTAGCCTACAGCTTGTGGAGATTTCAGTCCATACTCAGCTGATTCCAAGGCAGGGTGCGTGGCACAGGGGCAAAATGTCAAGGCAGTGGAAGATAGTAAAAGCAGCAAGACCAAAAAGGGAGGATTGCACAGGGAAGACTCCTATCCCTTATACTGCATGTAGAACTCCTGCCTTGGGGTGGGTGTAGACTCACACCCGTAACCCCAGCATTAGACAGTGAACCAGTCATAGAAGCCCATTCCCATGACTGCACAAGGCTCTGGTGGGTCACCCAGACACAAACCATAACAGGCCTCTCCCTCAATACCTAAGAGAAAACCCTGCCACCAACCAAGCAGCAGAGGCTGCAGAGTCCACAGGCCAGGGTGGTGCCCAACAGGGACCAACATATCCATGTTCTTTGGGCAATGAGAAACTGATGTCACCCAGCCTTACACTCCGAGAAGCATTACTGACCCCGAATTAAGGAGCAGTAACAACATAGTTATCCAGTTCAGCTGATACATTTTTTACCACGGCAGCATCAAGGCTACCACAAAAATAGTACAAAAGTCACCTTGTACTCAAGGCAACAAAGACTGGAGTGTGACACCACTCATTCCCAGGACAGGCATTCAAGGGTGCAAATTTACAGGCATAGGTCAGAACCTTGCTCAGGAGCGGAGATGGTCCCCCTCCCTCCAGGCCTCTCGAGCTGCATCCCCTTCCCACGGGTCCCAACCCCCAGTGCCCAGAACACTGACAGGAATGGCCACTGCCTGCTGCCAGGGAGTCCACCCAGAGAAAAAGTGGGTTGACCCAGGGAACTACCAATAAAATTCAGAATCAGAAGTTTCAAACCTCATCCACAGGTCTACAGTGTGTTTAGCAGGCTGACTTTAATTTTAAGAAAGCACAGAGAAAGGCATCTGGTGAGAGTGACAAAAAAGAAGAGGGCAGAAAGAAATATGGTAATCACTGTCCAGGGAGCACAAAAACATCTGATAAATGACAAAAGATACTGCATCCATAAGAAGGATTCCACCTCACAATGAAAACTAAAAAGCTCTGAGAAATTAACATAATAGCAGAATCAAAAAAGTAAGAAGTTTGGGAAATGAACTTCTAAAACTCCCAGATCAATGGAAAAGGCACAGAGAATCAGAAGACCACAGTAAGCCCTCCCATATGAAAAGCAAAGTTCCAGATGTGGGAAACAAGATTCATAAGCAGTTAATCACAGGAGGTATCGCAAAGCTTGGTGGAAAACCACAAGACACATGGTTTCTGCCTAGCTGTCCCCCAGGAGCCTCCTGCAATCGGAGACAGGATGGGGACCGGACGCTACCAGGCTGTCAGCAGGCCAGACAAGAAGAGGGGTGGCTGCGGCCTGACCTGGAAGTGCATCTTCCTCCCCTCTCCTCCCTTCGTTCTCTGCTTCCCCACCACCTGCCACTGAGCTGCTGCTGCTCTCGTCCTCCCTTCCTGAACCATGCTGACCATGCCTAAATAAACCTCGTCTCCTTTAAGCTGTGGGTGCCAGGAACCCTGTCCCAGTAATGAGTGTCCCAGGGACTGTGTAGAAGTGGGAACAGATCCCAACACCCCAATCAGAACACTAGATACAGCCATTCACAGCTGAGGGAGAAATACTAGTTCCTCCTAAAGCCAAGCAGGAGTTCCACATCAGCACCCAGACAGCATGGCAGAGATGGCAGCAGCATGTGTCCGCCAGAGTCCAGCCCCAGCCTGCAGCATGCCGGGAACTTTCTGCTGCGCCTCATTTTCCCACTGCTGCAATGGTGACCTCGGGCAGAGACCATCACCACAGCTGGCACTAGGAGCTCCAAGCTGAGGATGGAGGGTCGACATCCCATCCACTCCCTCTGCACCCCGCCACTGCCCTATGCTGGCATACAGCACCTCTGAAGATTTGGACCTCCTCCCAAGCCCCGCTCTGCCTCTTGTGGCACTCGCAGTCCCTGGCTCAGCCTGACTCAAACTCACAGCGACTTTCAACTGCCAACAACAGGAGCTGGAAATCCCTAACAGCCGTTCCAGCTGTTCATAAAAGTAAAGAAACATCCTGAAAAACTGAGTCTCTGAAGAAGCAGGTTCTCGTGACTTCCTGACTTGTTTTCACCATTGTTTGGTTCACTTAAAAATCGCAACCCAAGACCTGCATCAGCAAATGGCTGGGGACATGATGAACAGAGAAGCCACCTTGCCCTCTCTCCCACCCAGCCAGCGTCAAGTGGCCACTAAGGCCACATCTTCCATCTCGCCCCTGGAGACGTGGCCTCCCAGAGGCCACTTCCAGGTGGCAGAGAACATTCCCTAAGCCTGGGAGTAGGCAGGCATAGTCCTCAGAGCTTCACAATGAGAAGTCGCCTGTCTGTGAGACACACAGCAACAGCAAGGACACTACAAGACACTGAGACACACTGCCGACTTGTGAGGCCAGCTATGGGCCTGAAGCAAGGGGAGGCAGGGCGACCGAGAGCTGGAGCCAGAGGAAGCACGCGCGACAGGTACTGGTGGAGGCCAGATGACCCAGCAGTACGCTGCCAGCTGAGCGAGCAGGCACAGGCACAGCATATCACCGGCCCTGGGTGTCCCAGATATCACAAGAGCTACCCATGGGAAACTTAGCAGATCCTGGGGTCCCCACCCATGCCCGCCTGCACCTTAGTATCTGCACTGCATAAGAGCCCGAGTCAAGGCTTTCTCTCAAGTGTTAGGTAGTCACTGGGATACATTCTGAAGAATGAAATTCAATATGATCATACAACATTCCAAGGATAACCTTTGAGGTTCTATTTTGAACAGATTCTATTTTAACTTGTTCACATTACAAGAAAATCTGCAAGTTATAAATGGGTTTTATTTAAAAAATTTGTTTTGAAGACCCTGCTACATTCCCAGGATTGATTTTCCTATGGAGGCAATTTTACAAGATTGCATTCCCTGTTTCCAGAACTGCAGAACTGGTACGGAAAGGATGAAGTTTCTTAATGAAAAGAAAAACTCTTTACATCAGCCTGATAGGAGCCCCAGTAAACCATGCATAAGGAACTCTCCACCAAAGGAAACTGCATTTCCAATGGCACCTTGGCCCACTGTGCACTGCCCACCCTGGTCCCCAGGCCCCATCTGAGTCTCTGACTGGCCTGGCAAAGGCCCTCCATGTCCAGGTAGCTCTCCCCAGTAAAATGCTATCAGCTAAGGCCATCAAACCATCCACCCAAGACACCAGCAAGCAGGATTCCCAGAAAAGATCAGCCCTATATGCTGCATAGAGTCAGAGACCCCTGTTGCCAGGACACTGGGCATCCCACTCAGCTCTAGGTAGAATCATTTAAAGGAACACGTACATTAACTCAGGTAGAGAGCACTGGCCTGGAATATATGTGACCTGAGTTTGAACCTCGGCACCAAAAAAACCCAAAAACTGTTTAGGCCAGGTGTGGAGACACACACCTGGACCCCAGCACTCTGGAGGGGTGAGGCAGAACAGTAAGTTCAAGCCCAACCTGGGCAACTTAGTGAGAGCTTGTCTCAAAACAAAGATAGTAATTATAATGATAATAAAGTGCAAAGGCCCTGGGTTCAATTTGCAGTGCCAAAAATAATAAAACCAAAAACGTGCCACATACAGTGGGCCTTTACACAAAGCTTACCTTATGTCGTTATGTTTAAGCCATGCAAAAGTGAAATGAAACTATAAACCCCAACAGCATGTTTTAGGCACACAGTACTTTACACTGTACCAGCTCCTCATGGGCCAGGGGCCATGCATGACCAAAAGGCCACAAGGGAGGAGGAAGCAGCAGCACATGGGCACAGGTAGTGGGACACTGGTCACTTCACAGCCCTGACTCTGCTCTTCATCCGCCAGACACCTTGAAACTAACCCTGCAAAGTCTCCCCCGCTTTCCTTGAAGATTTGTGGTATAGGAAACTAGTCTAAATGACAACTCCTACTCTAAAAGCTGATGCATGCAAACAATATAAACTAACCTAATTTACATCCTTAAAAATATGAATTCTAGAATTATGCTAAACTCTATCCTTTGGATACCAGTGACACCAACCTGCATCTTGCCAATGTTTAGCATCTACTTACTTGGTGCATTCTTCTAGAGACTGCACGAGCATTTGCTGGAAGGAGCAGATCTCCTCTAGGTTTGCCATTAAATAGGAGGTGTTTGCTGAACTTAACCTAGAGCCAAGAGAAACAACAGTAAAGACACACGAATGCCTGCACCATGCTCTCCGTTCCCATGCCGCAGGCCCGCCACCATCCTAACCTAATAAACACACTGTGTCCCAGGGCAGACTCAGGCGCCCAATTCCATTCCATTACTTCAACCTCTATTCCCTGAAAATGAAAGAGAACAGCCCGAGAGGACTATTTCATGCTCATCACAAGTGCTCCCTGAACTCACTTCTCAGTGGTCTGTAATGGCCGTAGGTAGGTTGAGAGCAGAGTCTGAAGTTCTTTAGAATATTCGTTTTCTGTTTCTAAAATATTCTGTAGCACCTGCAACAGAAGACGGCTAAGCGTTATTTAACACACCAAGTGTTACTGGACACCAAGATTCACAACTCTGGAAAAGCAAGTTGCTCACCACTGTTCCACTGACTGTGTGGCTGGGCTTGGCCTCACGAACTTCCTGCCTCAGGCTCCTAGAATGCTGGGGTGATATGTGTATACCACCACACCCAGCTTTACTATTTCTTAATACAGAGACAGAGAATAAAATACGATAAAAAGCGGCAGCAAAGAAATAGTGAGTGGCTGCTACTTTACATCAAAAATGCAAAGGTTGTGTGGTGGCAAAGGCCTGTAATCCCAGCACCTCGGAAGTGGAAGCAGGAGAATCGCTGCAAGTTCAAGGCCAGCCTGGGTTACACTGTGAGTCCAGTGCCAACCTGAACTATCATCGAAACTCTGTCTCAAAAAACAAACAAATAAAAAAGCAAAGGCTTCCTGTGTTCATGTTTACATCTTCTCACCTTCAATAAAAGCTGGGACCACAGGAAGAGATTAAGTACACATTTCCCACAGAATCTGAAAACACAGGATACATCTAAAAAATTTACTTTGCCATATTGCACCAGCAATTACAAATCATTTCTAAGTAAAGAATTATTTTCTATTCCTTAGCACACAACACTGGTCAGGAATGAAGGCCTGAACCCTGCGGGCTCATGGCCAGACACCCTGCCAGCTCCCATACTGATCACAGGAAGTCTCAGGACACAGAAGCACTTGCACCACGTCTAGCATCCTCCTCTAACTCTACGCCATCACTGCACACACAGCATTCCTGGGAAGACTCCACTGAAAATGCAAAACAACTAGAAACTGATGCTTTGAAATCTGGCAGCCCAGAGTGAAGACTAGGGCAGGGGCACCCAGTGCGCACACAAACTTTCCACCACTGCCACACCCTGAACACTCATCTCAAAGACTGGCAACACTGTGGGGAAAAAATCACAGCCTACTGCACGATTTGGCATTCCCCCCGCCATTAAACCAAGATGCACCCAGAGACCAGGAGGCAACTCTGAGGCCCATCAAGGCTGTGCGGCCTGCCCTTCCCAGGAGCCACCGCTGGCTTTCTCTGCGCCTCCCACCACCACGCTTTAGAGGCTTTAGTGAGATTACAAAGACACGTGCAACACTCACCACGTTGTAATAGCTCTTGTTGATGGCAGTCGTGTCGAACCCTTTGGGAGGGCTCTTCAGCGCCCCTGACTTGGGGGAGACCGGCTTCTCTGGAACACAAATGGAAGGCAATTTACTGACCAAGGTCCTGATCTGCCAGAGGGATCAAGGCAGGGGCTCCCATCCTGAGGTCACCACTCCCCTGCATCCGCCCAGCCACAGAGTCTCGGTCGGCCTTACGCTCCACTCTGTGCTGTAAATGTGTGCAATCAGCTTACACGGGGACTCCCTGCATGGTGCTGTAAATGGGAAACATGAGTTGCGGATGACAGGTGTGGGCGGCAGGGAGCTAATAGGACCACAATGCTGAGACCTGGGCTAAATCACCCGGGGGGGGGGGGGTCACAGCACTTGGCACCCAAGGGCTCACTGAAAAAGGAGTTGCTGCTCTAAGCTCATCTTGTCACCCTCAGGAGACAAGCAAAAGGAGGTTACCTGCTGCTCCAGAACCAGGGAAACCATGCCACCCAAAGCACTACAACAAACCGAGAGCTGAGGACAAGCCATCAGGGCAGCAGCTGGGATTCCTTGGCCTAAAAGGCGCTGCTCACACCAACAGACAACTCCATAGGACCTGGGCCACGATGCAAATGGAGGACACAGTCCACAGCCACGCACTGTCCACTGGCTGGCAGCAGCAGGGCCAAGGTATGCCAGGCGGGTATCAAGAGGGGCGGCCTGTGGCAGCCACCAAAGGTTAAACAGTGGCCTTGACCAGAAGCTCTGCGTGTCTCACTGGCTCTGTGGACAAATGGGTGCAGGGTGTCCACAGCGCTCCTGTGCAGTCTCTGCTAGCCTGTCTCAGTTGTGGCTCTGGGAGCACTGTCTATCCCGGCTCCGTGCAAGGGTGGGTGGTATGGCCCTGCTTCAGTCTACCATCCTTCATCTGGACCAGAGGCAGGACATCGAAGTACAGCCAGGGGCAAGGGAGGGGCCGGGCTGCAGTGCCTAGATGAGAATTCTCAGGAGCACTTTCTCAGGTGTGGGCACTTTGAGTCCATAACCGCCCTCGTCCATGCACTGTCTGCAAAGTCCCAGGTGCGAAATCTTGGCATGTGGCACAGCACTGTGTACTGTCTCTCCACTCCTCACACTTTGCTGTGCACAAGCTCACATACCAGGGCTCTGAGCAGAAGACCCACGCCCAACACCCCAGCTCAGCCACAGAAGCAGTGATGAGGGGGCCACCAACAGAACCTCGCCTCATGAAGGATGCCCACGTCTTCCTCAAGGCCTCGCCATCTGGTTTTCCAAACGGAGAAAAATAAAGAATAAAAGATTCTGCACTGAGAGAACTCCTGTTCTCAGGAAGACAGCAACTCCATTGGAAACAAATGATTTCCAACTGTAAGGAGGAAAACCATTTGTCTTCTCAATGCAGACCTGCATTGAGAACTTCAGAGTAGACTGTGGCGCAGTAAGCAGCAGAGAAAACAGACCCTCTGAGAGTTGCTTGTGCAGATGCTGGCATATAGCACAGAAAGAAGGAAGTGGGTCCCCTGGACCCAGGAAGAATCTAAAGTGCCAAACTGAAGCCCACAGAGAGAGGAAAAAGAAAAACTTCAACAAAGAAGGAGATAGCTGGTAGCGCCTTCGCTCTGAGACAGGACTGGCAGTGCGAGAGGAGCTGTTCAAACCTAGGGATACATGGTCATGGTGAAGGTGACGGCTGGTGACCCTGGAGGCCTCCGCAGAGACGCAGATGTAGAGGACTGTTGGCTAGCAGAGAATGCAGAGGACTCAGTCCTCCCACAGGAAGAGAGCAATTAGCAGGGAGCCATCTTGGACTGGGGCAGGACAGGCCCAGAACCCAGAACTGCTGCCAACTTCTTCTCGTATCCCCTAGCTGGGTGCAGAGCCGCAGAAACTGCTTGGACTGCGACAAGCTGGATGAGCCTGGTCTCGGGGCAGCCTGCTGAGATTACCCACTACTCCACCATAAAGCAACTGCGGGCCTGTTGGGACAGAGCAGTGTGATACAGGACTGTCTCCAAAGGTTGTCTACTAGAACCGGGCACTAGTAGTGAAGTGGGCCATTTGTTTTTCTTTTTCCTTTATTTTTGTTTCTCCTTCATTGTTTCTATGAATGTGAAAGTGGTTCCTAACCTCTTTGTGGGTATGGTTCTGTTCTGTTCTTCCTTTCATATCTTCCATTTCTCTTTCCCTTCAGTCTTCTACATCAGTTTTCCCAGAGCTGGCATGATCCCCTTTTGTCCTCCAACCTTACTCCTAATCTCTTTCGCTTCTTCCACTTCTCTATTTTCTCCTTAATCAATTTTAAATTTAAACCACCAAGGGCAAAACTGACACATTACAGACTCATATTCTGCATGTAATTATCTGGTTTGTTTTACATTTGGTTATGTAATCACAAATCTAGTTCATACAATTAAAAGTCATAAATTAAGGGTTAGCTCAGTTTGTTTTTTTTCTAGGCTGTGTTTGACGCACAGTAGCTAAATTGCTTTAAACAGCTGTTGATCTTGATAATCTCATGACTGAAATTGCTAAACATAATTGCTTTAAACAGCTGTTGGTCTTAATAATCTCATGACTGAAATTAACTAAGGGTCATAGAAAACATGGTGCCAAAAAACCAGGGATTAGGCCAAACAAGCCGCAACAACTCATTTCCAACAAACTGAAGAGGTGAGATTTTCCAATAGACTCAAACCCAAAAATCAGCTATACCTGGAAGACACCTCAGAGAAGTAATCATCACCTAAGTGTTCTAAACATCAACAAGCATCACCCCAGGAATTAAACAGAGAGAGAAAGAGAGAGAGGAGAGAGGGAAAAGAGAGAAAGGAAGAGAGAGAGAGAGAGAGAATAAAATGAGAAAACATTTAAGCAAAATGCAACCCCAGACATCCAGTTCACCAAAGTAAATCCAGGGGACAATGATAGAGAACAATCCTAAGCCCCACCCCCAGGTCTCTCTGAAGTGGTAACAAAGGAACTGAGACTCTGGAAAAAATGAAATCAGAAATAGTCTCTCAGATAACTACAGAGATTACCAAAATACACACTGTTCTTAGTGACAGACACAGACAAAATAATAGAAAAGCTCAAGAAAATTATGGAAGATCAGCATAGGAAAGAAATGGAATCCATAAAGCAGATGCATGCAGATATCCAGGAAAATAAAAATTCGACTAAATGTATTGAAAGCAGATTAGGCCAATGTGAGGACAGGATCTCAGATATTGAAGACAGACTTGCAGTTAGTAACCAGGAAAAGAAAGATTTCTCAAAAACAGCAAGAGACCATGAGAAATCAATCCAGCAGCTGCTAGAAATGAGAAAAAGAAGAATAACTCAGATTAACTGGAGTCAACAAACAAGCAGGAGATACCACAAATGACATTTAAAAAATGTTCACAGACATCATGACAGAAAACTTTTCTGATAGAGAAAAAGAATTTGACATACAGATAAGTGAGGCATATAGAACAAGCCACAATCAAAAAAAAAAAAAAAAAATCTACAGCCAGGCATATCTCAGTCAAGATTCCAGAAATTCAACACAAAGGCAAGGGCAAAACTGACACATTACAGACTCATATTCTGCATGTAATTATCTGGTTTGTTTTACATTTGGTTATGTAATCACAAATCTAGTGATCACAAATCACAAATCCTAAAAGCTGTTAGAGAAAAGAAACAACTCACCTGTAAAGGAAAGCCCGCCCATCAGAATTATTGCTGACTCAGCACAAACTCAAGTCAAGGAGAGCTTGGACTGGAGTACTAAAGGAAAACAGCATGCACCCAGACTGATGTACCCTGCAAAACTATCTAAAGGAAAACAGCATGCACCCAGACTGATGTACCCTGCAAAACTATCTTCAAAATTGATGGAGAAATAAGATACTTCCATGACAAAAAGGACCTGAGAAAATGATCACCAAACCAGCACTCCAGAATGTTCTGAAGGACATTCTAGAAAAAGACATTAAGGACTACAGCTCCATGAACCCCATCAGAAAAAATCCACCAGGAAAGATAAACTATTAGAGGGAGGGGGGAAAAAGGAAGCGCCAACAGGAAAATAACATGACAAGAAGTCAGTACATATCAGTTATAACCACAGGCTGGCAGAATGTATCAAAAAGCAACATCCAGACTCTTTAAGTAGAGAGGAGAAACTACAAAATGCTTTGCATCAGAAGAAAACACTGCTGTGTCTATGAAAGCTACAACTGAGGGCAAGACACAAGAGGACGAAGCAGCCGACATCACTGAGGCCCAGTGCATGGCACCAGAAGAACCCAGGTGTCCACTTCACGGTGTCTGTGCAGCCAGTGACATGAGAATGACCTGACTGTTGCCAGCTGTGTAACGAGGACACACCTCACAACTGACCCCAGCGCAAGAGGTTTATTCGGGGACAGCGCTAAGCAGATGGCTACAGGCTGCTGGAGCTATAGAAACAGGACAGGAGCAGGGGAGAAGCAGACACACCAGCCGGCGCTCTTCCCTGTGGCTGTGACATGCAGATCAGTGGGGCCCCCAACTACATCCTCAGCAGGCCCAAGCCCCGTTAGGGGTGCCACCACAGGTCATGTCCAAGCAGACAGCGGCAACTCCCCGGAGGCATCCCTGTCGGCCACTCCTCTCTCATCGGGTGCAGGGCAGCTGCTAGGAAGACTTCCTGGGAAATGGGCGAGTCCGAGGAGCCTGCAGCAGCACGGCAAGGTGAAGCTGCAGCCAGGAAAGGGCTCCAGGACTCACACAGCGCCACTCTCAATGCCCTAAGGGAGACATCTGTGCTACAGCACCAATGAAGCCAGCTGCTGCCTGGGTGTGAGAGCATTACAGTGCAGTTGCCAGCCACCGACCGGCCCAGACCCCCTTGTCCTGCAACAAGCTGCACGTCCACGCTTGAAAGGACACACCGGCTTCCTGTCAGAAAGCAGGCCAGCCCAGCCGGCACACACACACACAGCCCCATTCCTGCAGGACCTGGAAGGTCATATTCCAGATGCAATGAGCCAAGAGACCTTTCTCTGTCCATGCATCTGGAAATCACAGAAGCCCCTGGGTGTGT